TACTGACAGCTGGGAGTAGATTCAGCTTTATTTCCTTTATTCGTGTTTAAGGAAAAGCAGGAGCTGAGGTAAGGCAGCGACATTTGCTGAACATTTCCTCCACAAAAACACAATCCACACATGGAGCTGAAATAATTGATGCACTTGTGTGTTTTACAAGCAGTGCGAATCCCGAAATTAAATGAGCTGATGTGAATGAATATTTGTGGCAACCTGACACACTAATGGCTTTCCATCCAGGGCTGAGGTGAACGAGCTGAGGAGAGGCCTAAAAGCAAATCTGAAAGTGCCACCTCATTAGGCTGGGATGGGGAAAGCAGCCCTTCACTTCCAGCACACAAAGGTTTCCCTCCGTGCCTGATTTTTTTGGCAAACAAAGCCCAAAAGCACCTGGAGCAGCACCAGGATGTAGAATTTCCAGCATGTATACAATAGCACGCCTCTGAATATGGCCTGGCTTAAAGGTTTGGGGGGTAAAAAAAATAAATAAATAAAAATTGTTGATTGAATTGCTGACCACAACGTGCAGGAATGTGCTCTGTGCTTGTGCACAGGGAGGGGGGAATTTTCAGCCCAGCCTTCGGAGCGTGGCTGCTGTTCCAAGGAATCCCTGACCCTGCCAGGCCCCTGTACATGCGCAGCTCTGCCTGGCAGGAAGATGATCCTCGTTTGAGAAAGCGTTTCCCTGGCTCTGGAAGGCAGGGAGTGCTCTGGGAATGCTCTGGGAATGCTCTGGGAATGCTCTGGGAATGCCCTGGGAATGCTCACAGGCAGGGCAGGCTGCTGGCAGGGGCAGCCACTTCTTGCTGCTCGCTGAAATCCAGCCCTCCTGGTTCTGAGTGCTGATGGAAAAGCAGAGCCAAGGATAAAGAGAGGAGGTTGAACACACCAGTGTTGTGCCTGGGAGAGGAGGATGGCAAAGGGACTCTGACTTGTGAGCCCTGGGGGAAGCAGGAAAAGCAGTAAATCAAGGACAAACTCGATCTGTGTCTAACAGAGAGAGGTCCTGCAGCGTGTGTGTGACAGAAACCACAGATTTGCTCAGGATGGAGCAGAGTTTTTGGGAATCACGGGGATATTCACACTGTTGCGCTTCATGGGGAGGTAGATTGGCAAAAAAAAAAAGGTGCAATGATGGGTTTTGGCTTTGTTTTCTGCCTCTGTCAAGGTTTTGATGGAAGTGCTGGAGATGGTATTTCATGTTCAGACTCAGGTGTTTATTATTTCTCATTTGTATCACAGTCCTGAGTTCTACAGCATTCTACTAACAAGCTACAAAATGGCTCACTACCCTTCTCTACAAAGGCTTTTAAGGCCAAAGTGTCCAATTAAGAAATGACACCTAAATGATTTTCACTTTTAACCCGAAGCTCTCAGTGTCCAGGATTCCAAGAGAGCAACACAAATGCAGGTGTGACTTTTGTTGGGCAGCAGAGGCACTCTGGGCACCTGCATCTAAAGGCATTCGTGAGGATCCATCCACCCCCTGGAATATTGGCTGGGAAGGGGCTGGGAGCACCTGGAACTGCAGATCAAGTCCTCAGCATTGGAGCTGTCCATCAGCTGGAAATGAAGGTGCAGAGGTGTGTGAAGAACAAAGCTGGAGCTGCCTCCAGTTTAGAACGTTCAGAGGATCCAGGTGTCGGCAGGTACGCAGGGAACTCATTTTAAACCTCAAGTGTGAAAAGAGAAAACTGAATGAGCCTTTCTAAGCCCCCATGCACGCTGTGAAAGCAACCAGAGAGAGAGAGCAGCCCTCCCTCGCTGGGATTTGTGCAGCACGGATGTTGGAGTGCGTGGGAAGGTTCCTACATCTATTCAACCCGGCATCTCTCAGCTGGCATCCATCATCCTGTGGGGCTCCTCTGCACAGCCCTGCTCACTCCATCCCGGCTGGAGGCTGCTGGGGGGAGCAGGGTGAGGAGCACAGAGGGGGTCTCTCCGTTTGGGGGTTGCAGGGCAGGCTGTGGGAGCGGCTGATGCCGGCGGTGGCTCTGCTGTGTCCCCTGGCAGCCGGGAGGGGCCGGCCTGATGTGATGGGCATGGCAGAGGATGCTGGCCAGACACGCAGGGCTCTGTTCCCACTGCCCTGTCCCAGCCTCAGGGACCATGACAGTGAGGGATTAGTGGGGGCAGGGTGCTGAAATTATTTTTATCTCCTCGTCTTGTTGTGCCTGTGCACAAGTGCCAGCCTTTTCAGCCTTTTTTTCTCTTTTTTTTTCCTCCTGTGAAGCATTAACTGGGTGGGTTGCCATAGCAACCCCTGCATGATAAGTTGGGCTGCTTCTTGCAGAGATTTCTCCCTCAGCAGTCAAGATTTCTCTCTCTCTCATCATTGCATCCCTTTCTCCATGTCCCCCTAAAGGCCACCCCTGCCCTCCAGCCAGCTCACTGCAGGCACAGGGCTGGGGCAGGGCAGGAAGGAGCAGCTTCTGCATCGTCCTGGTGTGGGATGGGGCTGGAAGGATCCCTGCCCTCCATCCCTTGTGCAGGGCTCAGAATTGAAACACACTTCCAGTGTGATATCCCGATTCTTTGTGAGTTTTCCTGCAGGAAGGAGCAGCTTCTGTATCATCCTGGCATGGGATGGGGCTGGAAGGATCCCTGCTCTCCATCCCTTGTGCAGGGCTCAGAATTGAAACACGCTTTGGGTGTGACATCCTGATTCTTTGTGAGCTTTCCTGAGGAGGACAGGGAGGTGTTTGGTGCTTGTCCTAAGCAGGCACGGCGTGACGCTGGAGAGATTCCAAACGATGTTATCCTTTCATTCAGCCTCTCTGAGCGAGCCCAGAGAGGTTTGCTTTGAAAACAAAACCCAACACAGCTTGTGGGAGGTTAGGAATCTGGGTGGACTAGAGGTGTTTATTGCAAATCACTTTGGATCTTGTCTGTGGTAGGCTCGAGGTGAAGAATAAACTTCTCCAGAGCTAGGGCAGAGGGTGTGACCGCCCTGACGTGTAATTTTTCATCTCAAAATCCACCCAAATCCAAGGCCAGTTTCACCAGAGGTTTTCTTCACCTCAGGGCCCCATTTCCCTTCTTTAAATAGCAGCTAAAACGCTGGTCTGGAATGAAGTAATTGAGGTTGGTACATGAGTGATTCTGAGGGAAAACTCATTACTTTTTCAGGATGTTTGTTTGCCAATATAATTTGAATTGTTTGGCAGGCGGGCTCTGGGGTTAGAGGAGAAAAGGCTTCTGATTCTACCTGAGGAGCAGCAGGCAGGAGCAGAAGGGGCTGGGGGTCAGTCAGTGACTCTGACTGAGTCTGTGTGGTCGAGCTGCTGCTTCCTCTTAATCCTCTTGGCCCCTGAGTCTCGTCCCTGGCAGGATTCTCTGTAATAGATGTAATTAGAGTGGCAGCAGCACAAACAGTGCAGCCCTGCTGATCCCTGCTCTGCGCTCTGCCAGGGCACCTGCCCGCCTGGGAATAGCTCTGATTTCCATGGTGCTTTGTGGAACAGGTGGTTGTCAAAGGAGACAGCCAGGGACATTTTCCAGCAGCTCCTGGAGCTATAAAAAACCCACCCCCAGCACTCGCCTGCTGTGCACACGGTGGATTGTTCCAGAAGGGTTAGGAGCAAATCCTTGTGGCTTAACCTTCCCCTTGTGCTGTTGTGATGATAACAAGGGGACAAAAGAAATGGCTCGATGTCCTTCATGCAGCTCTGGGTGTCACATTTGCTGTTCTGCCTTCCCAGGGAGGAAATCAGATTTTAAGGTTTGTATATCCATGCTGGATGACTTCTAAAGGGGGATGGAATCAGCAACCTGCAAGCTGCTGGTCTCCCTGGTCACACCTGGTGCCTGCAGGTACACATTAAATGGGTTTATTTTCTTCTGGTGGGCTGCTGGAAGAGTACAGAGGAACCCAAAGAAGCCTGAGAGCAGAGGGAACAGTGAGGACAACCTGACAGCCAGTGTGTGGCTTTGGCCAGTCCCTGCTGGAATACTTCAGGCTGTAAAGAATTCGGGTATCCCAGTCAGCTGTGGGCTGGACCAGGGCAGAGCATCCTGTGCAGTCAGCACAGTGAGGCAGAAGGAGGCACCAGGAGGGCGTCCTTAGCTGGGAATTGCTTGGAGCAGCCCCTGGAGCCTGGGCAGGCTGACGTGCAGGCAGCTGCTGCGTGTGGCCGCTGGCAGATGATGAATGCAGCCTGCTGACACAAACACAATTAGGTGATGTCTAGGAAAAGTGTTGGCTTTGTTCCGTGCCTGCTTCACTCCAGCAGTGCAGGGACCTGATCCCGCGTGGTTTCATCCCCCAGAGCTGTGGCAGTGGCCACCACCAGCAGCTGTGCCCAGCTGAGAGCCTGAGTACAGCTGCAGCTGAATTTTCTGCAGCCTGCAAACATCTCTGGGTGGGTCTGGCCACCTGCACGCTGAGTTTTGGCACTGTCAGCCACTCCTGTGTCATTCTCTGGTGGGGCTGCTCAGGTTTAATTCAATAGATTGTGCTGTGTGTGGAGCTGCAGAAAAGAGCACATGTAGCAAATGTTTCATTTCCCCCTCTCTGTCCACTGTGACCTTCAAAGCTGGAGGAACCCTCCAGGGCACGGTGGCTCCCGTCCAAGGAGAGAAAGCCCAGCCTGCTGCTGGCATTAAATTCCCTGGAATCAGGCAGGAACATGAGGCAAGAGGATTTCCCAGTATTTCCCACTGTGACCTTCAGAGCCGTGCAACTGTTAGTATTAAACCTATTAGCAGCAGAGGCCGTTCTGTGACCCCGCAGGGATAACTCCCCCCATTTCCCCCCCACCCCTTGGCTTTTTTTGGAGGCAGGACAGTGATGTTCATCTGTAGAGACTGGACGAGGAGCAGGGGGTACCAATGAAAAGAGGGGAAATTCAGATTTTGGGAAGGAAAGCTTTGCTGTGAGGGCGGTGGCAGGGCATCCAGGGAGGTCGTGGCTGCCCTGGACGTGCTCGGAGGTTGGATGTGGCTCGGTGGGAGTTGTCCCCACACATGGCAGGGGGTGGGACCGGCTGAGCTCTAAGCTCCATTCCAACGCCTTAACACTCCGCGATGATGTGATATCCTCGGCGTGGTGCCTGCAGCCAAAGGGACCACCGGAGCCCCGGGCTGCTTGCGCTGAGCCGGGAGGAGCCGGGCGCGCCCGGGGCCGGGGGAGGCGGCCGCGCATGTGCCGGCCGTGCCCCCCGCCCGGGCTCCTCCAGCATCCTCGGCATCCTCCTCCTCGGCATCCTCCTCCTCGGCATCCTCCTCCTCGGCATCCTCCTCCTCGGCATCCTCCTCCTCGGCATCCTCCCCGCCGGGTGCTGCGCTCCGCCACCCGCGGAACAAAAGCGCCGCGACCGCGCCCCGCGGAGCCGCTCCCGGTGCGGGGCACCTGCTGCTGCTGCTGCTGCTGCTGCTGCTGCTGCTGCTGCTGCTGCTGCTGCTCCACCGCTGCTGCTCCACCGCTGCTGCTGCTCCACCGCTGCTGCTGCTCCACCGCTGCTGCTGCTCCACCGCTGAGCAGCGCCGGCCGCGCCCGCGGAGCCGCGGAGCCTCGGAGCTGTCCGGGTTCGGGTCTTGGGGCTCGGTCTCGGGCTCTGTCCGTGGTGCTGCCCCCGGACCGCGCCCGCCCGGCATCCTGTTGCTCCGGGAGCGGGCCCGAGCATCCCGCCGAGGAGCCGAGCGGAACAATGGCTGCGCTGCCGCGGCTGCTGTGCGCGGCCGCGCTCGCCCTGCTGCTCTGGGGTAGGTGCTGCCATTCCCTCCCCGCCCGGCCCCGCTGCCAGAAGGGAGGATGCTCCCTCGCCCCTGCCCTCCGAGTCGGGCTTTTGTTGTCGGGAGAAGGGAATGAACGCTCGTGCGGAGTTGGTGTGGGTGTGAGGGAGTGAAAACACCTCAGCGCCGAGCACAAAGCATGTGCTGGTCCCTTACTGTTTGCTGTCGGTCTGGGGTTTGCAGCGTAATTCGACAGCGAGTTGCCTCGGGGAGGGTGTGCAGCCCATTAAGAGGTGTTTTAGTGCCGGTTTCCCGTGCAGTCTGCGTAAACTGGAGTTAATCAACCGATTGCAGCTGCAGTTTGATTCCTGCCACGAGCAGAGGTTGGGTGGTTTTGCCACATTCGATGTGCGTGTGCCTTCAGCCCTGTGTGTGGGTGCCTGTCTGTGTGTACAGATCTCGTTTTTCAGAGTAAAGCAGAATCCAGGAGCTTTCCCTGATTTCTCCCTGGAAGCTGGTGCTGTCCGTGGAGCTGGAATTACGGGAGAACTGGAACCAGGCTGCTTCCAGGAATAGTCCCGGGATAATATGTTGCTTGAGAGAGTGGGTTGATGGTGCCTCAGAGGCTGGGGAGGAGGGAGCAGCCAGCAAAGTCAGCGTCTGGGCTCTGGAGACAGCCTTGGACAGACAGAGCCCAGGATAGTTCGGCCCAGGGGACAAATGTCAGCAGGGATTTGGTCGGAGATGTGGTGCTGAAGCGATCCCTTTCTGCTCGAGCGTGTGGCTTCACATGCAACGATTTCTGTCCTCTTTGCAAGAGCAGTATTTGAGAGTTGCCAGCCTTAGCACAGCTCTGATTGGAAGCGTTTTGAGCAGGAATGCCTGGGAAATCAATAACTCCTCCTGCTGCCAAATTCACTCCCGTCCAAGCCCCTTGGTTCCCAGTAGTGCCCATGGAGCCCAGGGACAGGAAGGGTGCTGGACCCTCCCAGTTTTGCTGAATTAAAGCATCCAGACCTTCCAACTTAGCACAAAGAACGAGCTGTTTCTCCACTCTGGAATTCTGGGCTTCCCCTCATCCCAGACTGTAATTGCTGCTCTAACAGGAGCATGCCCAGCATGCATGGGAGGCAATGAACAATGCCTTTAAAGTGGCATTAATTACCAGAGAATGATGAAAGGCAGATGCTGAAGAGGTGAATCTGTGTGAAGAGATCACCCTCTGTTAATTATTCTGAATTATTAATATCTCAGGAGAAGGAAGCTTGGTAAAATTTGACATTTGAGACTTAATCTGTTATCAGACAGCGCTAGTAGCAAATCAAGCCATTTTCCATTAGGGACATTAATGCCAAGATGTGAATAACTGATGCTTCTCTAATTCTGCCTTAACGCTTCTTTGTCTGCTTCTCCTCTCCCCCAGCGGGATTTTGTTCCTCCGTGTGTGTGGAAGTCCCATCTGAGACAGAGGCTGTCCAAGGCACGGACATGAAGCTGCTCTGCATCTCCTGCATGAAGAGGGAAGAGGTGACGGCCAGCACGGTGGTGGAATGGTTCTACAGGCCCAACGGGGGGAAGGATGAGCCTGTATGTACGACTGGGAGCTGAGTCCTTTCCCTTTCCTTCCTTGCTTATCCCATTTCCACACCTGGGCACAGCACGAACTCCTGGCAGGAAAAGCTGGAATCAGTTGTTGAATTCCAACACTTGGATTGTAGATTAATCAATGCCAGTTTTCAGTCCCGTTCCCTCAATACCTCAAGCCCAGTATCTGAGGATGTTAAATAAGATTGACCCTTGGTACCCTTGTCTGAATCAGTTCTGAATCCCAAAGCTGTTCTTTTGGAGGTGAAATAAATCTGCAGGGCAGGATTTACTTCTTTTTGCCTCAGAGAAAGCAGTGTTATCCCAGCTCCAGGAGGATCTCTGGGAGCTGCTTTGGATCCCTGTCAGGAAAAGGTAAAATTGATTTTCAGAGTAAATCAAAATGGAAATTGGACAGATGAGGAGCAGCTGCAATTCAAGAGAGAATGGTGAAATGGGAACTAGATAAAGGCTGAGTGCACGCTTCTTTCTAGCTATTTTATCTGAGTCTGAAGCATTAAATCAGTGCCTATGATTGAGCAGGGCCACACAGGATGACAAATATTCTCCTTCTGTCTGAGAACTAAAGGGACCAGGCTAAGGAATGAGAGATGGGAATTCACTTCCAGGGTCCCAGGGGATCCATTTGCCAGTGGCAACCCAAAGAACACCAACCAAAGTGAGCTGGAACAGGCAGGGTCACGATGGGGAATGTGGTCAGGCAAAATGTCACACTGTCATATTCGCCCTGCAGCACTTCCATCTCAGCTCAATACCCCAGGGCTTCCCAAAATGGGCTGTTGGTCTTCCCTGAGGATAGTCTGTGGTTCTTTCCTCAGGTGATCTGACACAGGCACATTGCTAGGCATGAAGGATCCCAGCTTTCTGTTCCACTGCTGATTTTTTTGTGCCCACGTGCATCTGTGTTTTGCTGTGCTCCCTCTCTGGTGGAGATATTGGATTCCTGATCACTCATTTTCCTGTCTTTTGTAAAGTCACCTGATACTTTGAGGCAAAGGATGATGGAACATGAATAGCTGCTGTTACCAAGGGAGCTCAGAACATCCCTGAGTGTAGCTGGAGGGGGATGCTGCCCCTGGCTCATGCCGTGGTGCTGTCTGAGGCAGAGATTAACCAGCACATCCCCTTCTATTTCCCCACAGATCTATCTAATCTATCTATCTATCTATCTATCTATCATCTATCAATCTATCTGTCTATCTCTCTATCTATCCCTCTATATATCATCCATCTATCTATCTATCTATCTATCTATCTATCTATCTATCATCTATCTATCTATCTATCTATCTATCTATCTGTCCTCTATCTATTATCTATCTATCTATCTATCTATCTATCTATCTATCTATCTATCTATCTATCATCATCTATCTCTCTATCATCTATCTCTCTCTCTATCTCTTTATCTATCTCTCTATCTCTCTCTCTCTCTCTATCTCTCTGTCTATCTCTCTATATCTCTATCTTTATCTATCTATCCCTCTCTCTATCTATATCTATCTATCTATCTATCTATCTATCTATCTATCTATCTATCTATCATCTATCTATCTCTTTATCTATCTCTCTATCTCTTTATCTCTATCTCTCTATCTCTCTATCTTTATCTATCCCTCTCTCTATCTATAGCTAGCTATCTATCTATCTATATCTATCTCTATCTCTCTATCATCTATCTATCATCTCTCTATCTCTCTATCTCTCTATCTCTCTATCTTTATCTATCTATCCCTCTCTCTATCTATCTATATCTCTATCTATCCATCTATTCCTCACAGATCTATATATCTATTTCTCTTTATTTCCTCACAGATCTACGAGTACAGGAAAACAAACCACGAATTCCCGAGCCGCTTCAGCGGGCGGATCCAGTGGAACGGGAGCAAAGACATGCAGGACGTGTCCATCACCGTGGTGAACGTGACCCTGAACGACTCGGGCATCTACACCTGCAACATCACCCGCGAGTTCGAGTTCGAGATCCACCGGCCGCTCTTCCAGAGCTCCAGGGTGATCCACCTCACGGTGGTGGAGGAGGGTAGGAGGTGTTTTGTGCTGTCACTGGCCGCGGGTGTTGTCACCCGGGGATGGAGTTTGGCACTGCGCCGGAGAGGGCTCTGAGCTTGGCAGCGACAGACGCGGCTCAGGAAGAAAAACCTGTGGCTTGTTTGATGGCTGGAGGCGCTTTCTGGGCCCAGGCTGGTTGTGTGTGAGTGTGGGGAGGCACGGTGAGCCGGGCACAGCTGGGCACAGCTGGGCAGGGAGGAGCAGAGGTTTCCAGCTCCTCCCGTGGCGGCACTGGATGTTTCAGCAATGCCTTTCCCACGGAGCCGCAGCGTTTCCTTGCTGCTGCCCACTCCCTCCTGGAACAACGACTCATTCTCCATTTTGATACCCATCTCCTGCTTCTCCTCCTTCCCTTCCTGGTGCTGCCGAGTCCTTCTGTTCCTCTCAGTGTTGCTGGGCTCGGTGCTGAAATCCCGGCATGGCACAGACAGTACAGGGGATTCTTCTGCTCTGGGAGATTCAGCCCTTGGCTCTGCCCTTTTTCCTCCCTCTCCCCACCAGCACCTCGGGGTTTTGATCCTTTACAAAGCACTGGCGGCACAACAGAGCCGAGTAACACCAGCGAGGGGACACGGGGAGGAAACAGAGCGCGAAGATGAGATAGGTGAGCGAGCCGTGAGGATGTGGGGGCTGTGCGTGTTGGATCCCCCTGGGATCCCTGCCTGGTGCAGGTCCCTCTCTTTTGCCTCCTCACAGCCTAAAGGCACCTGGAGATTCTGACAAGGAAGGATGACACGAGGGTGGAAAAAAAATCCATGGAGCTGCATGGAAATGATCAGGGGTTATTTCATTTTATTCACAGCTGGAGAAGACTTCACTTCTGTCATCTCAGAAATTATGATGTATATTCTGTTGGTCTTCCTCACGCTGTGGCTGCTGATTGAGATGATCTATTGCTACAGGAAGGTCTCCAAGGCAGAGGAAGCTGCCCAGGAAAACGCGTAAGTGTGGAACCCCTGGAGGTGAGATCTGCCCTGAGCTCTCAAAGGTGTATAGACTTGTGCTAGTACAGGATAATCAGGTCTAAAATTGGGGATTCTTTCTTCCTGATGGTTGAATAAATCATGCAATACTAAATCCTTCTGCCTGACCTCATGTACTGTAAAACCCCAAGGAACTGGTTCTGTACCAGCAGCAATCTGTGCTTGTGGGGTATCCACAACATGGGACAATACCCTGTGCAGTTTGCCAGAAATCCTCAATAAAGTGAGTAGTGATTAAAACAGGCTGGAAGACTGCAGGAAGACTGAACTTTGCTATGGCATGGGCTGGTTGGTGTTTCACACAGAATCACAGAATAATGAGGTTGGAAGAGCCTCTGAGATCATCAAACCCAACCTGTGCCCTAACACCACAATTAGACTATAGCACCAAGTGCCATGTCCAGTCTTCTTTTAAACACATCCAGAGATGGTGATTCCACCACCTCCCTGGGAAGACAATTCCAGTGCTTTATTATTCTTTCAGTGAAAATTTTTTTCCTAATATCCAACCTAAACCTTCCCTGACGTAGCTTGAGACTGTGTCCTCTTGTTCTGCCAGTTTGCACTGCCCAAAGTCCTTGCAGTGTTCAGGAGCACCAAGACTGTGCCCCCTTGCACCACACACCAGGTAGGGAGTGAAAAGTATTCCAGGTTTGGACCATGTGGAGATGCTCTCCTGGAAGGTCTGGCTTCATCCTGCCCTATTCCCATCTTTCCACACACTTGGCTCGGATCAGAGCACTCTTTGTCCATGGGAAGGCTGGGCTGGGTGTGTAGGATTGTGGAGCAGGGAAGCCTCGGTGTTTGCTCCTGCCTATGCCAGAGTTTCCCTCTGTGAGCATCTACAGGTGACGTTTGTTACCTCAGAGACGCTTCCAGGCATTCAGCAAAGGTGAGTTTACCCAAAGTGGGCTTTACATTGTGTGCTTTCCTCCTTCCCTCTAACCACAGGACAGACTATCTCGCAATTCCATCGGAAAACAAGGAGAACTGTGCTGTGCCTGTGGAGGAGTAGCAGAGGGGAGGCAGCGGAGTGAACGGCACCAAGGTGGGTCATGAAGAAGTGGTGACTCCTTGTGTCTGTCCCCCCCTCACTTCCTTGTGCCGGGGCTGGAGACTCCTGGAGCGTGGCAGAGCTCCTCTGGAGCTTCCCCAGCAACCTTAGAAGCCACACAGGTGTCTTTAGGTGTGGGGTGTACTGGTGTTGTTTGAACCCCCAAACCAACAGGATGTATTTATGCCTCATTTACCCACTGCTGTGGAATTGGGAATCTTCACTTCCCCCTGCACAAGGGCAGCTGTGCCCGTGCCATGAGGACTCTAAGGGCTCTGTCTCCAAAGGAAACACGTCCTAGGAAGGAGTTTGTGTGCTACAGATTAAAATCTGGATCTTTCACCCTCAGTTCACCTCCCGCCAGTTCCTGTGCTAACTCTGTTGCCCTCCTCGCTCCTGTGAGCTCCAAGAGGAATTGTCTCCCTTGCAGGGGCTCTGAAGGCAGAAGGACCACGCCACGCCAGCAGCTTTGAGGGGGAGCTCTGCGCCGTCGGGAGGAACACGGGGAAGTGTAAATTCTCTTCCACTGGCCTTGGACTCTGTACAGCCTTGACTTTGGTCCTGTGACCCATCTGAGCTGCCAGCCCGCTGCTGAAGGACTCCTCTGTGGAAGCATGCTGAGCAAACGGCACAGGGGTGGGCAGCACAGCTCCTTCCCGGATTTCAGTTCCACCATCACCTCAATGGCTTCGTAAATGTTTCCTGTCACTTCTTAGCTGCTCTCACCACCACCTTTATTTGCTAAATACGCTTCTTCTCCACTGCAGAGGTTCAGGGTACATATGGCACGTCGCTCTGAGCTGCAGGACTGTGAACAAGCATCACTTAGGGGGTTATTCCACTATAAAATGTGGCCCAAGTGGGTTTTTTGGTGTTAAAACAGGAAGAATGTAATTAATGAATGAAATCACTCTGAATTTTAGGCTGTCCATGCACAAGCAGAGTAGGGTGAGGACTGTAATGCACTAAAATTAGATATGTATAGTAGGAAGCACAGATCCCTGTGCCACGCTCACACTTTCTTCTGGAGGGAATTGAGAACACAGATCCTGAAGTATTCCTGCTTTGGGAAGCAGGATGATGTAAGTATAAGAATCCCCTGTATCCCCCTCATTTATCAAGTGTCAAACTCCTCATCCCCCTCCACCTACCTGGCACAGCAGGTTTGCTCCTGGAGTACACAGAGTACCTGCAGCAGGACAAGGTAGGGGATCCACCCTTTCCTGGGAAACCCCAAAAGGAAGGCAGCCTCATGCTGGTAGGCAGGAGAAATAAACAGGATGAAAAGCCCTCACAGCTTAGTAAAATGGTTGTAGTTTTATAACTGTGATGGTTCTCTGGTGCTGTAGCAGCACCATCTAGAGGGACAGACAGAAACCACCCACTGTTCCCAGTTAATCCTAATTCTCTCTTGAGGTAATTAATCACCAGTATAAATAGTCTGGATTTATCCTAAATGACCCGGTGCCAAGGAATCACCCTGGAAATTTCATCTTTCCTATGCAAACATACCTTTTCTGAGGGTTAAGCAGAATAAAAATTGTTTTCTGCCCTTCAATGCAGACCAGTTGAGCTCAACAGCTGGGATTGGAAGGGGGGAAAAGCAGAACCATTGGCCAGGGTGGGATTGTGCTGTAAAACCAGCTGGGGAAGGTTTGGGTTTGTTGCATGGCAGAGTTGTGACATCCCTGCTGCACTGGAGCCTGTGCTGCTTTGCCAGAGCTGACGAATTCTGCCCCATTTGTAAGTAGTTCCAACGTGCTCGTGACTCCAGGCATGCTCCCCACCCACGGAATCCCCTCTGCTTTGTTCTGCTGCTTTTTATGTGTTCGCTAAAAACACGGAAATTACCCATTTTTAATTCAGGCTCAGGCCAGATTTCCAACTGGCACTTGCTCAAAACCCTTTTTTTAGAGTGGGTGTCAATTTTAGCCAACTACTCCAGCGCAGTCTTGGTAGTAGGACTGCTCCCAAAGGCAGAGCCAAGCCTGGCAAGGGGAGCACATTTTCCAGATGAAGTCTGGGCACCAGTTCCCAAAAAACGTGATATCCAAAAGGGATTTCCAAAAGAATATCCAAGCAGCTCCTCTTTCAATTCAGCTGGATGTCATCTTTCTCCTCATGCCGGTTTGCCTGGCAGAATCCTGAACTCAACAGTGGGACTGGGGGGTAACTCTGGGGTTTCCAGCACTGAGCCCATGGTGAATTTTAGGACACCTCTCTCCCACTCCAGCTCTGCTCCTCAGTCCCTGTGAACCACAGACAACGCTCTGGTGTCATACTGTTAAATCAAAACAGGAGTGAACCCAAGAACTTTGTGAGAGCTACCTCAGGTGGTAAAGACGGGCCGTCCCCTTGTCCTGCACCTCCCTGTATCCCACAGGCATCTTCTGGATGCTCTTTTTTTGTGGATAAACCTTTCATTTTTCCAGTTCCTGCAGACAGAGGTGACCACTGCCACATGGTGTTCCAAGCAGGAGGTGCAAAGTTCTGCTGAAGAATCCCGCAGGGGAAAAAAGTATAAAAATTAAAAAATTGGTGATTTTTCAAGACCTGGAAGAGACGGTCCTGGCAAAGACTCTGTCTATGTTTGGAATGAGAGAGGAGACTTTGCAATAGGCAGGATAATAAAAAGAAGAAAGAGCCACGCTGGTTGTTGGATAGATTTTTTAATTGATACCGTACTTCCATGGTACTAACTACTTACACGGAGTTTGGCTGCAGAGCCTGTACAATTCCTACATTCCAGCACGTACGTTCCAGTATCGTTTTCAACCGCGGGTTGTTTTTTTTTTTGTGTGTGGTGGTTTTTTGTTTTTTGTTTTTTTGCGCACAGCGCAAAGTTTCTGACAGTTGGGACAACTCCTAAAACAAACCCACAATCCTTCCCCCACCCACCCCAGAGTCACCTCAGCCATCAGCCCCCTGCTCCCCGGGCTCTGGAGGGATTCCAGCAGGGAAGCACTCTGGTGGTTGTAGGCTGAGGAGAGCAGACCCTCCTTGATCATCACTTGTGCACAAGAATCACAGGAAACAGGTGGGGACAACACGCCCCAGGGTTTTAGCAGCTTTCTCCAGCCCTGGAGCACGTGGTGGGAGATGAAATCCCACTGGAATGGTGACGCCCCAGAGGTGCCACGGCCACGCCAGGCTGCTCGTGGGAGGTTGTGATGCTGCCACTGCTCTGCTGCTCTTCCCTCCCTCCGCGTCCAGCCCAGAGCCAGGTCGGTGCTTCCATCCCTGCTCTCCAAGGGCCATTTCCCAGGAGGTGGGAATGTGGAGATGAGGATGACGTGCACGGCACAGGCTCCACCTCCCTGCTGGATGGAGCTGTAACAGCTGCTCTCCCACACCCCAATTCCACTGGGATGCACATCGGGGTTCATTCCCTACCTACTGGCGGGGTCGGGGTCAGGGAAGGTGGCCTTTAACGTTAGCAATGGAATTGGCCTAAATGAGTGAGGTAACAGAAACGGCCAGAGGAGGAACCCCCCCGAGCCATGTGCAAATATAATTCCTTCAGCAGAAGGAAGTCCTTTTCCCTACTGAAAAACAAAATAAAATAAAACACATTCACTTGAAGAGCATACAGACTGCGGGAGGGGGAGGCAGGCAGGGACAGCACCAGGTCAGACCATCTATGACACAGGTAATGATTGTCCAGCAGCAGAGGGGGCAGGGGACAGGGAAAAGCCAGAGCAAGCACTGCAAAACGTGTGGGAGAGGAGGAGGGTGTGGCATGCCACGGATCCGTGCTGAGAAGCCCATGCTGTCTGCCTAGACCTGGCCTCGAGCACAGCCACCCAAGACACGAGAGTATTTGGCCAGTGTGCACATCCAGAAAAAGAGAGGTTTTATGGCACAGAGACTCGTGCTGGAGAGACTGCAAAGCACAGAGATCAGAGTGTGCCTGGTGGGGAAAAGGATGGAAAATCAGCACAGGAACCACCTTGGCACAGGTGTCCTGTGAGCCACAGAGAGAACAGGAACCACCCTGGTACAGGTGTCCTGTGAGCCACAGAGATCAGAGTGTGTCCAGTGGGGAACAAGCTGGAAAATCAGCACAGGAACCACCCTGGCACAGGTGTCCTGTGAGCCACAGAGATCAGAAACATGAACCACGCTGGTACAGGTGTTCTGTGAGCCACTTCCCTCAGGGGCTTTGGTTCCAGAGTCTTTGTTCTGAGCTGTGTTTTAAGCAAGCCCCTAGCAGGTATTTTTGGTGGTGCTGAGACTGAAAAGACAAAGCCAGAGTCCAGGGGGCTGTGCCATGGACCGTGCCAGCAGCAGCCTGGCAGAGATCCGTGGGCAGAGCCCCTTGGAGCTGAGCAGGCAGTGCAGAATCTGCTGCACTGAACTGTCAAGAGCTGGGGGTGGCAGCAGCTGCCTGGGCAGGCAGGACAGAGCTGCCCCCCACCCCGAGGCAGGCACTGCTGCTTTAAACAGTGATTTTAAGGCTGATTTTCTGTGTAAGGTGGAACCAGGCAGCTCCAGCTGTAAATCAGGAGTTTGTTTCTGTGCTCCTGGGGAGAGCAGCTGCTGCAGCACGCCAGAGCAGGTCCAAAAGGTCTCAAGTACCCTGACCAAAAGTGTCTCCAGCCACTCTCTGGAAAAGAAACGTCTACCTTCCTGCATAAAGGTAAGAATAAACTCTTTTGTGACTACAGGACAGTGCTGAGGAGCCAAGGAGGCTGAAAAGTCTGTCCTTATCTACACCCAGGTGAGCTGCTGAAGCTGTCTGATAAGGATTAGCACTCCAGGATTAGCATTCCTAGAGGGGATCTCCCAGTACCTGCCCTGTTATCTCAGAGGCAGTTTTGTGCCTTCAGGGCTCTAAATCCAGCAAAACCTTGTGCTTTGAAACCTTTCCTCTCCCAGCCCAGGGTCACACTGCACTAGAGATGTTTCCTGTGCCTGAGGTTTCTGTTTTTAAGATCAGAATTATCCAAGCAGGGTCAGGTGTCACCCAGCAGACAGGGAGAGGTGTAAATGCAGCCTCTGTGTCACACAGGCAGCTCAGGGGACATCATGTGCCTCTCTTGTCCCAAAGGACTCAGGGAGGCAGGAAGGGTTCATGGCACAGTTTTGTGACTGAAGAGTGCCTGGAGTGCAGAGCACCCAGAAAAATCTCATTATCCTGTTAACCACAGCTAACTCCTCCCCACTGCAAGTGCCTCTCTATCTCTATTTCCCCTTTTTACCATCTGGAGTGTGCAGGCCCAGCAGTGCCCCTGCCTTGGGCAGCTCACCACCTGGAATAACCTGGTTTTTGGTCCTTCAGAGACTTCACAGGCAGGTGCTGCTGTAGAAAGCTCTGGTATCTGCTCAGGGAATGCCTGCTTGCACAGCAGCTATCCAGAACTCAAATCCACTCATCCCAACTGCCAGAACTCTAAGATAAACTAAGCTAAGGTGTGTATTTATCAGGGGTGAGGTTGTGCCAAGGTAAGATCAGTGAGGATGTCACAAACTGGTGGATCAGAGCCTCCTGCTCCCCCTTCTCCCTCTTCCCAATAGGAAGCACATTCCTTGGCAGGAATTAGCCTACAAGCTGTTGGCATTACATTTGCATGCTTGGCTGGAGAAATGCCTTTTAAAAAATAAAAATATTTTTTAAAATCCCTGTTTTTGTGGTTGTTCAGATCCTGCAAATCAAAGCCCAGCAGATGTGCAGGTGGAAGGGTCAGACTGGGAGGGGAAGTGCACCTGCTGTGGGAAGAATCCAGGGGGATTTCTGATGAGTGAGCAAGGGGAGAAGCAAAGCCCTGCTGGGGGAAGCCAGGCTTGGCTGTGAGTGCTGTTCCCTCTGTAACATGATTCAGGCCTCTCACTCCTAGAAAGTGTTACTGATCCCTCCAGGAAATGTAATCCAAAATTGTCTCTGGCTCCAGAAGAAACTGCTCAGGGGCAGCTGATTCCTAACCCAGCTCGCCAGAGAAGTGAAAACCCTCCAAGGTTTTCTTTAAACCCTCACCCTCAGTGCCTTAAGACCTTGCTTTTCCCCTTTTTATTACTACTGTGAGAGATGAAGAGGCAAAACAAGATTGTGAATCCCATCCCAACTCCAAACCAGACTGGCTGCTGAGTGGGAAGAAGAAATAACTAGAAAAAAACCCAAAGGCCTCAAAGAGAAACCTCCCTCAGTGTGAAGGGCACTGCAGCACCAGGTTCTGCCCTTGTGCTCTTCCTGAGGGATTTCACATTGCTGAGTGTCAGGATAGGTGTCAAACAGGTTAAAACCCCACTTTAATGTGCAGGTAGGACAAATTTCAGTGCCTGGCCTGACACTGATTTAACAGAGCTAGTGCAGCTCTGTCCCTGGGGCCCGGCCTGAGGGAACATCCCGAGGCTGCAGCTGGGAATCTGCACAGCAGAAAGGACTCAGGATGAGAAAAAGGGTTCTTTGCCCCCCTAACAGAGCGAATGTGAGCAACACACACTGATCAGCAGCATTTCTCTGTGACCCTCTCTGATTTCTCTGTCTCCAGGGGGAGCAGACCCCACACCCCAGCTCCTCTTTCCTGGCAGGCTGGATCCCAGGGCTCCCTCTGGGTCGTCCTGCTTGCTGCTTGAAATTAAATTCTAGAAGAGGGGAATTCCAGCAGCAGCAGGGGAATTCTGTGTGCTTAGTAATTGTGGGAGTGACTAAAAGGGGAAAGGGGACTCTGGGACAGTCTGGCAAGTCACAGTGGGGAAAATGAGCCCCAGAAAGGCCTTTCCAGGCCCTAGCACCTCAATTTCATGGTACAGCAGCCATTTCAGCAGCCTCCCTGGAAGAAAGTCAGGGAGCAGTACAGTAGTCAGCAGCATTAAATTAAATAAATAGTCATAAATAGCCTTTACTCTCTGGTTTTCCCCAACTGGACTTTGCTTTCAGAGTCTGGAATGTTTTTGATAGCCTGGCTCCATCCATGCTCCTGCACATGTGAGGCATGTGGAGAAATCAGCAATTACTCCTGCATCCAGTGCCTCTCCCTGGTTGGAAAGTGGGAGCTTAGAGGGTTTTCCTCAGGCTGCACTGAGGATATTCTGTGCTACAGAATGGTGTGAGACCAATTATTCATCCCGGAGGAGCTACAACTGCACCACTTCCAAACTGGGAACGTGCAGCTGCCTCCCTCCTGCCAGTCAGAAGGTGGAAAAACCCCAGTGCTGGGCAAAGTGGGACTCATATTCCCTAACCCACCTGGCTGGGGAAGAGGCCAAAGCCTTTATTAAACACTTGAAGCAGCAGCCTGCTCCCCCACCCCAGTCCCTGTGGAGTTTGTGCATTGCACAGCACAGCACAAGCTGCCCCTCGTCCCCATCTGGCTGCTAATGGGGTTTGGAATTATCCCCCAGAACAAGTGAAAATGCACACTGGGTTCTTTTTAGCACAGCTCTATGACCTGGCTGCCTCCCAGGGCTGCACTACCCAGCTGATGGAGACACCCCTCAGGTGCTCACAGCCAGCTCTGTCCTGCCACCCTCGGATGGGCCCTTTTTCCTTTCCTCCCCGTGGATTTTTGGAAGCCTTGTTGCTCCACAGATGCAGTCATGTAAATATCCACAGTGATGGCTGTTGCTGCATAGATACAATTATGGAAATTTATCCCAGGCAAGGAAAGGAAGCTGTTGTTTTTCCCCCTGTTTCCCCCCAGATTTTACAAGACGAGGGCTGGGTGAACAAACAGGGGAGAGATTTGCTGAGCTGCGTAGTGGGAGTGCTTGAAAATCAATCCTAATTTTGGTTTTCTGTTGAAATTTGGGTCCTCCCACCATGGTGATTCCAGCACCGATGCAGACCTGCAGCACAGGGGTGGCTGAGTGGCAGGGGCCCAAGCACAGAGAAAGCAGAGAACAGGGCAAGGGGACACTGTCACAGGTGCCACTCACCTGGGAGGCAGACACTGCCCTGGCTCTCACTGCAGCATGCAGGGCAGGAGGCAGCACAGGGGGGTTTGTGGAAGGGATTGCAGCTCTGTGCTTTGCTCTCTGAGCCACCCTGACAGCAATTCCTGCTCCCAGGAGGGGCCTGCCAGGGGGATCTGCCCTCCACAGAGCCCCAGCAGCTCCCCCTCCTCTCCAAAGCAGTTTTGCAAGGGATTGACTGCGACTGCCAAACCTCTGTGCCCCGAAGGCAGCACGGTGAGGGAGGTGACAGTGTCCCCTGTGGGAGATCAACAGAGTGAAGCAGGGAACCTCCATGCAGGGACGGGATGGGGACGGGCAGGGGGGGCACTCACGCTGATGCTTCCCTTTCAGACAACAGAAACAGACCAGACAGACAGACAGACAGACAGACAGGAATATTACAGAGGAGCAGTGCACGAGCCCAGGGAGCAGAGCTGGGCACGGCCCTGAGCACACCTCAGTGCTGGGAGAGCACAGCCCTCCCACACACACACCCCCCCCACACTCCCAGAGACCCTCCAGTTCAGCCAGTGTTGGAGGTCGCTCCTTCCCCTCTTTAGGCTTTTTTTCTTTTTTTTTTTTCTCTTAAAATCTGTATATAATATATATATTTATATCTGTATATATATATATATATATATATTTATATATATATTTATATATCCTATTTACACATATTGCACACCGTCCTCTGGCCTCCTGCATTCCTGCCTGTTAATGGAAACGTTTCCTTTTCTCCTCTGGATCTGACCCGAAGTCCCGGGACCCGATGCCATTCTGGAGATTTATTAGAGAATCCTTCATCTGCAAGACAAGAGATTTCTCCACTGTGGTGCTACCCTAGAGGAGAGAACTTGGGGATTTCCTTTTTCCCTGGATAAATCCATAATAGCTGTATATTGATACCATAAGTGTGGTTTTGGGTGTGAAGAGTCAGGGCTGAGATGCACAAATGGGGACTGGGAATGTGGGGCACCATTCTCCAGGAGAAGGGGTGAGCAGAGTACAGGGTAAGAATAAAGACCTGTGTGACCAGCAGGACAGTGCTGAGCAGCCAGGGAGGCTGAAGTCTGTCCTTATCTACACCCAGGTGACGTGCTGAAACTGTCTGATAAGGACATGGATTAACAGTCCCTAAGTTTTCTCTCTTTAGGGGAAAGCAGCTCATATTTAGAGGATTTTGAGGGAGCAGCTCTCATTTCTGGCTTGTGCTCTCAGCAGCCCTTTGTGCATTTTGGGAAGCACACCCTGAAATTCCTGGCTTTTGTGTCCCCTTCCTCCCTGAAAGCTGCATGTAAATCCAGGGTTCAGCTCAAACCAGTTTGCTCTCCAAACTGGGATGGCAGATTAGATACCAAATGTGCCAATATGAGGCTTTTGGCCCTGTAGAGTTCTCTCCTCTGATGAGAGAGAGCAACCGTGGTCCCCTGTGCCAGCCCCTGTGGTACCCACCAGCAGCAGGAGATGGATCTAAAGGAGCTGGCACACCTGGGGGGCTGTGGTGGAAGCAGGAGATGCTGAAGGATGGGGAGCAGGACTGGGAGGACACAGTGACACCCAGGTCACAGCCCTGCCTGCAGCTGTGCAGTCTCACCTGGTCCAGGAGCATCACGGAGGATTTGATGATCTCGCGCCACTTCTGCAGCTCTGAGTCGTGGTACTTCTGCTGGGACTCCAGCAACTGGGCCCACTCTGTCTGAGACTGGGGTAACCTGCCACAAAAACACAGGCAGGAGTTGTAAAATCACAGTTTGTACAGAGATTTCCCTTTCACAGAACTCACAGATTCACTGGGCTGGAAGAGACCTTCAGGATCATTAATCCAACCCAGCCCCAACACCTCAACCAAACCCTGGCACCCAATGCCACATCCAGGCTTGTTTTAAACACACCCAGGGATGGTGACTCCACCACCTTCCTGGGCAGCCATTCCAGAATTTTATCACCCTTTCTGTAAAAAAACTTTTCCTAAAATCCAACCTGTATTTCTCTTGGTTCAGCTTAAGGCTGTGTCCTGTCATTCTGTCAGTTCCTGGAGAAAGAGCCCAACCCCAGCTGAGCACAGCCACCTTCCAGGAGCTGGTGTGACAGGAACGCCCCTGACACCCAGGAAAACCAAGCAGAGCCCCAGCAGGTGTGGCTGTACCTCTCCTGCAGCCTCAGGCCCTGCCACGCTGTCAGTGTCTGAGTGGTGTACTCCAACATCCAGAGCTTGTAGAACAGCATCATGTTGAGAATGACCAGCAGCACCAGACTGCAAGGAAAGCAAGGAAAGAGCCACTTCAGGAGCATCCCCCAGCCCACTGCTTGCCAGGAGCACCTGGGACAACACCCAGGACTTCAGGAAGGTGTCTGAGGCCCAGTCCATGCTGTGAGTGGGGATTTCATCTGAGTGAGCAACCAAGACTTCACCTCGTGGAGGAAATGTGTGAGCCAGGAGGACAGACAGACAGAACAGGCTGGGTGAGTGGATGCGCCAAATGCAGAGAAAGGGAGGGAAATGGGAGAGTAAAGAGGTAAAAAAAGAGAGAGACAGTACCTGAAACAGATCCTAATGGGAGCAAGGAAGAGAAAAGACGGAGCAGCTGCAGGTTAGAAACGGACTGACACAAACTGGGCTGGGGAGGAGGCTCAGGCAGAGCAGAGGTACGGGGGGAAAGGAGCAGAGGGAAGAGAGGCAGGAGGGGCAGACAGGGATCCGTGAGCCTGCACTGCTGGTGAAGTTCCCTCAGCACAGCTGAGCTCCAGCGGGTGGCTGTGCAGGCACTGACACACACACAGTGCTCACACCCAGCCTTCCCCACTCCCAGTGAGGCTCTGACACACACACACACACACACACACACACAGTGCTCACATCCTCCCCATTCCCACCCCAACACCAGGAACACACCCCAGCCATTCCCTGCCCAGCTCCTCTCACCCCCACCATGCAGAGGGGCATTTCTGCTCCTCCCCAGGAAGAGATTCCAAAATGCCAGGCTGGTGCCTGGCTCTGAATAGTGCAGTTATTTTGCTGGAAGAATGGCCCACTATGACCAGCTCAGTCAGGCGGATGGCAACTGGCCAGAGGAATATTCTGGCAACATCACAGAGAGTTCTGTGACCCAAGTGAAGCTGTCAGGAGCTTCACTTTGGTCAAAGCTTTGGTACCTCTGTGCTGTGTTCTCATCATGACAGTACCTTACACCACCTCATTCATCACTGGTGGGGTGCTGCTGCAATTTCAGCGTCTGTGCCCCCTCTGGGACCAGGGAACACAGAAAAAAGCTCACCTTGAGCTGTCATTTCAGCCCTGAAATCCCAGCTTCTCCCCACCTCTCTAAAAGCTGAGAGGAGCTTAAGGAAAACTGAGCCCAAGACAGAAAAGCCTGGATTACTGCTTTAGGCTGTTCTCCTGCACAGCACTGCCCAGTGAGCACTGCAGCACCGAGTGAAGCCTGCTGCCAGCCCAAGGGCAGAGAACAGTAAAAACAGTGACCTCTGGTATTAAACTGAGCCACAGGGATGTGAGGGGCCCATTCCCAGCTCACTTGGGGAACACATCCTACCCATCCTGAAAGATCCCACTGCTGAGCTGCTGAAATCACTCCAATCCCTTGTGCTTCAGCTGTTTCTGTACTTATTGTGCAGAAATCTCATCTCTCACGGGTCCAGCTGCTTTCTGCCTGTATCTCTTATCAAAATCACGGCCCAGAACCAGACATGGAAAGGTTTTGCCTGACCAGATGTGACAGAATCCTCACAGACACTGAGCCCTGTTGGGGTGGCCCAGTGACTCCCAGAGAGCTTTGCACAGTCATTGTCCATGATAGCAGCTGCTGTGTCAGCAATTAAATCCCTTTTTTTTAAATTACCCACACACACAGAGCTTCCACATGTCATTAAAAATCTGTAAACTGCATCCCTGAAGTGAAAAAAAGTAAAAAATAAAATGCTTATACTTGTTGGAGTTCTTCTCTTGTAGGTATTGAGTCCTCTCCTCTTGCACAGCTGCCTCTGTCCTGATTGTCACTGTCCCAGCCAGGTCACAGACCTGCCTTTAGGACTCCCAGAACTGACCCACAAAGCCATGCTTGGCTAAAACAAGGGCAAAACCGAGGGGAAAGGAGAGAAGGGAGCACAGAACTCCAGGAGCACAGATAAACCAAAGGTGTTTAACGCTGGCTGGGAAGGAAAGCAGGAAAAACCATCACTTACACAAAGCTGATGACAAGGAGCAGCTTGGAGACACTCTGCAGGTGGAAGCCACCGGGGCTCTCCTCGGGGATGTGCCGTGTCTGAGTGGAACCTGAGGAGATGGGATGCATTTGGGATGGGAAACAGGGAAGGGCAACCCCTGCTGCTCTACCCACCCCTCCAGCTCACCCCAACAACCCCAGGACAGCACCCCTGTTTGTCCCCATCCCCAGGGCCGTGCTCACCTGCCACGTGCTTGATTCGATGGGCAACCTCCTCGTCCGTGGGGGTGGTCACGGGGCTGAGCACCTCCTCCAGGTGTGGCACCCTCAGGTGGGTGTGGGCGCGTTTCCGCCGCCGCACCGTGGATTGCTTGCTCACCTTCTCTTTGGGGGATTGTCTGTGCACCTCAGCCAGGTACGTGCTCTCTGTTTTGGTCAGCTCGCTCTCTGCAGCACCAAGGGAGAGCATTAGAAGTGTGGCTTTGCAGGGAGAGAACAGTTGAACCCCTCTGCTGTGATGCCTTACTTAATTTTCATTAATATTTTAGTTATTATTTATTTTAGTTTATGTTTTTGTTATTATTTATTTTATATTCCTCACATATTTGTAACCTGCAGTTCTTTAGTGTAGAACTCTAAACTCCATATGCAGTTTGAGCTGCTGCTTCCCCATTTTGGGAAGACACAACAATTCCTCTCCAGGCCTGGCAATCAAGGACACCTCACTGCCTCAGGCCAGAGATGGAAACAAAAGTGAGTTTTGGGGGGAGCAATCCTGGGGTAAATGACTTCATTAGCTAAAGCTGTAATTGGCAGATTCATCCCCAAAATGCAAATGGACCAAACTCATAAAAGTGTGAAATCCCGTGACTAGTTGTCCATTTTTGGGTGTAGTCCTGGAGGGCTTCATCTACCCTAAATGTACCTGAAGGCCCTTCAATAAATAGAACTGCTTTTTATTCTCTTCATTTTGTCTGGCCTCTGTTTTTAGGCAGCCCCAAAAAGGCATCAGCTGGGCCAAAGAAGCTGGCAGGGTCTGAGAGATTTGTGCTCCATGTTCCTCGCACCAAAATTTGACCCCAAACTGCTGGACAGGGAGCAGGATTTGATTCCCTGATTAATTCCAGCAGGTAATTCACTCCAGCTGTGGTAGCCCCTTTTGTAAGCCACCCCAAGGCTGGATCATGCTGCCCACTCGCAGGGAAACACGAGTGCCACTGTCATTGCCACTCTTACCCAAGTGACGGAAATAATCTTCCAGGCCACTCCAAAAATTCTTCTCGATGAAGGATTTCACCAGCCCCCAGGGCTGTTTCCTGTAGCGCAATTCTGTGGAAACCCTGTGAGGAGGAAGAGGTCAGTCATATTCCCCTGGTTTTGCTTCCTGGGGGAGTTGCAAATTCACCACCTTTGTCAGTGTAAATCCAGGAAATAATCATGTACACTGCTATTTCTGGAATGCTCGCAGCCCTTCACGTTTCCAGAGGAGAAGCACTGCTGGAAAAGTCTTTCCAAAGGCAGGAAGAGCCTCTCCCAAGAGTACTGCAGGGCCATTTGGCAGACATTTAGATTATCATTATTGAAGTCACACAGAGTCACATGGATATAGCTTTGCCCAGTACCCAATTCCTCTGCTTAGTTCCAGCAAGTTCATCCTGTGCTTATCACAGTCTGCACTGATAACAGGCTCTCTCATCTAAGAGAGAGGCAAGAAAAATCTGTAAATCCTCTCCCTGATGCAGCTGTGACTCCTCTGCACTGATGTCAACCCAGCAGGTGAAAGTCCTACCCCTACTCTTGGTGTCAGGAATGTCCCAGCTACAGGACAAAGAAATAACCCCCTCAACCCCTCCTAACACACCCAAACAGCAAAACCCGTCCCCAAAAGTGCCTTTTGCCCATCATTCCCTCCCCAGGAGAGGTACCTGAGTCGGCTTTTGTTTCTGGCGACACGAGTCAACGTGTAGCGGTTAATGGTGTAGAAATAATCGTGGTAGGGGACGTCGTGAGTTAGCACCTCTGCATCTATGACATAGCACTCGCTCTCCTGGCTGGCTTTGTACATTGTCTGCAGGAAAAACAGCGTGCAAGGCAGCTCTGAGCGTGGTCAGGAGGCTGCTCGGAGAGATTGGCACCTCCAGCAGCACTTTGCAAACAGGAGACACCCCCACGCCCCAGCCCTGCCTCTGCAGCTCTGCTTGAGCAGCTCACCCCCAAGGGAAGGCAGAGGAAAACAAGGGTTTCACCCAGATGCTTCTTGTGGGCACATTTTAAAAAGGGCATTCAGCTCCAGCCTCCAGGATTTTGTAACAGAGGTGTTACACACAGTGCCATGTGGGGACTGGCTCACTGGGACCTCTCTTCTGGTGTCTGCCTTGTCATGGACTCACCTGAAGTTTGAGCATAAGTTCTAGCTAATAAATTTTCTGGCATAAATTATTCTGTGATTCTAAACATCATAAAAGCACATGGCTTTCTTCTTTTAAGCACTTCTGGTGTGCTCTTCCCTTTGCTCCAGAGCAGAGCTCGCCCAGAGGACAGACAGACACAGCTCAGCACAGATCCCTGGACAAAGCATGGCTTTTCCTGCAGCTGCTCCCCCTCAGCTCTGCAGTGAGGACACACAGGGGGTGCTTTGGTGCCTGAGCCAAACCAGAATTACATAAGCCACGGTTTGTTATCTGAGAGTGTGCTGCTCCCTTTGCTCATCCTGTTCTTCTCCCTTTTCCTTTCTGTTCCCTTCACCTTTCCCTCTCTCCAGCCTCTCACCTCACAAGTCCCACCTTGCTGCTGGCATCCTCCTCTCTGAAATGTGGCACTCAGACCCCTTTTCCTGGCTCCCTCTTAGCAGTCCCTAAAGCTCACTCTCAGTATTTACCCTTGGCCACTTGAACACATCTCTGGACACGGAAAAAGGCTTTTCCTCCCTGCCAAATACAGCCAACCTGGCTCCTCCCCATGCACTGAAGATTTTCCCTTTTTTATCTTTTTAAATAGATCATCTCACTGTCCTCACTACAATAAGAAATCCACAACACCCTGTAGGGTGTGAGAAGGACAGGTCAGGCAGTAGCTGACTTCCTTGAGTAATATCTGCTGGGCTGAGCACAGCTCAAAAAAACACCAGTTTGGGTGAGAAAAATACTAAACTCAGCTGCTTTTGGTGGGAAATTTGTGCTGCTTTCATTGCAGCCCAAATTTCACTGTTGGATTAACTATTCATGGCTGCAGTGATACTGGGCAGCAAGTTAAACCAAGGAAACGTGAACAGGAAAATGGACAGGGATAATGAAAACATGCTCAGGACAAGAAAATAACTCTCAGAGAGTTTCTACCAAGTGTCCCAGCCCTGCTCCACTGTCACCTACCTGAGTCTCAGTGACTGTGGCAGTTTTGGGGGCCAGAGGGTTGGTGAGGGTGATGGTGTACAGGATCACTCTGGTCTGATTGCCATTTTCCTCCTTCTTCCAGGGGTGAAAGATAATATCTGAGAGGACAAAACAACATTGCAGTCAAGTAACTGGGGAGGGATCTCTGGTCAGTCCCCTGGGGAAAGGCATAGCCACATAACCAAGCTGGGGATAGGATTTCCTTCCCCTTGGGGAGCCTGGCTGCTCTAGAGCTCAGCTGAGTGTGAAACAAACGGTTCCTGTGCTAAATGTGAATATTTTCACCTCTTTCAAGTGCAGGGAAAAGGGGAGAGCCTGGGGATTTATCTCCTTTAGCAAATCTGCAGTTACAGGGAAAGGACTATGACATGCCAAGGAATTCTCTCTGCAGCTCTGTCCATGTCAAGTGTGGAGCTTTTCCCTCACACTGTTAACCCTTGAACAGAAGATCAGGCCTTAGGTGATGATAAAAAATAAGAAAATCAGCTTTTTCCATAAAAAAGTTCTTCCAGCTGTTAGAAAATTAAACCAGATGGGCACACAGGTCCTGCTGCTTTTGGCTACCACCAGCACAGGCCACGTTATCCCAAAATCTGCTCAGAATGTCACCCAAGCAGGCAAAATTGTACCTCCGATGTCCCTCAGACATTTTTGGAGGTTCCGGGCCCAGGCCAGAAGCATTTGAGACCCTGGCAGGCAGCTGGAAACAGCTGTGATTTTGGGTTTGAGCCATGGAATGATTTACCAACTTTATAGGAAGAACAAGAAGTCACAAAAGTTTAGATATTATAGTAGAAGTAGTCACAAAGTAGAGGGAAGACTTTTTGAGTGCTGTACAGGGGGGTTTTAAGTCCTGTACAGGGGGGTTTTAGTTTTGTACATGGGGGTCAGAAGTTTAAGACGGAGGGATTTTTTGGCCGGTCTTGTCCTCCCTCTTTCTCCTTCCTTCCCTCCATGTTCTTGGTGATGTTGGCACTCACAGGTTGGTTTAGAGTAGAAAAGCACCATTTAATATAGGTAATGGGCATTGGGGACAAACTGTACCCATGTAACACGTAATGTACCATATAAAAGATAGAAAAGCACCATTTAATATAGGTAATAGGCATTGGGGAAAAACTGTACCCATGTAACACGTAATGTACCATATAAAAGACAGCAGCAGCCCTGGGCGGGGAGAGAAGAAGCAGTCGGGAGTCAGAGAGGATGTCAGGGTGTGTGTGTGCCTCTGCCTGAGCCACAGCAGCCCCAGAAGAAAATCTTTTAGATAACTTGCAATAAACTGCCTTGAGACCGAACAACAGAGACTGCTGAGCCTTTCTTTGGAAGCTCAGGCTGGAGGAGAGACTTTTCCACCACACGGAGCCCCTGAACCAGGCCTGGGCTCCGTCACTCCAAGGCAGAGCCCTTCCCTGCAGCCCTGGGCAGCTCCAGCAGCTCACCAGAGAAGCGGCGCTGCTCCATGAAGTCCCTCTGGAACTGGGAGTCTGTGAAGAGCAGGTCGTAGAGCTTGTCCACGCTGAAGTTGAACACCTCGTTCACGTACTGGCGGCCGTTCAGGTCCTCGTAAAAGGCTTGGACTTCCCCTGTGGGGAAAGAGAGCCTCAAGGTCCAGCCATGACCCTCCAGGTGATGAAAAATGTGCTTCCACAGCACCAATATTTCAGAAGGAATCTAAAGGACGCACTTCAACTGATGCCTCAGGTTTAGCTTCTATACTTTTCATATTCTGTGCTGCTTTAGTTTGTAAGTCTGGGCTTCACATGAGGGGATGCTGAGCTCTCTGCACAGAGCAGGGAGACAAAACAATTCCTGCTCCAGCTGGGCACCAAGGACAAGTGATCCAAATCTCAGCCCAGGAGCACAAACAGCGTGGGCTGGAGAGAGAAAAACAAGCAGGGTGGGACTGCCTGGGCTAAAGCTGGAATGGGACAATGAACTCCAAGGTGCCAATGGAGCAGAACTGATCCCAGGGAGAGCCCCCGGGAGCGCTCGTGCATTTTGGGACCATTTTGGTTCATCTTGGAACCATTTTGGGACCATTTTGGTTCACCTTGGGTGCAGCCCTGGCTGGGCTCTGGTGCTGCCCAAGGTGCATCCACAGAGGAGATCCTTTGAATAAATCCCTGCTTTATTCTTCAGCTCTGCCCAGCCTCTGTTCTAGGCCAGCCTTCATAAGGCAAGAGAACCCTTTTCTTGCACTAACCCCAGGGCAAGAATTTGGGACATAAGAAGGGATAATTAATTACATTGCTTATTTTAGGGACACCCCAAAATTTTTAGGCACATCCTGAAATGTAAACACATATGTTGCTCTGATTGAATCAAAGCAACACACATACACTTTCTGCAGCCCACAATGGGAATTCTTTGCATCTGCAGGGTCCAGAAAAAGATTTCAGCAGGCAGCACTCCATTCCCTGACGGGGAAGGAAGGGATAAGGCTGGGATCGCCCTGGTGGAGTGGCCTTTCCCCACGTACCTTCATCGTGGGTGTCTGAGGAGTCACTGAGCTCTGTGGGAATGTCTTCGTTGTCATTGAAGTCCAGGGAGGGGGAGTTCACAGGGCCAATGATGTCGATCTTCTCTCCCATGATGTTGGCAATGCCAAGGTCTTTCTCCACAGGACTCTCTGCCACTGCCTCCTCCTCTTCTGGGAGCACTCCATCGAACTGCAGCAAGGACAGGGCACAACAAGGGCAAGATCAGCACCTGGAAATGGGCTTTATTTCAAAATACCTCACATCTGCCAGCCAATTTCTGAATATTTGTCCTTGACACATCTGGAAATTAAATAGAGAGAGGAGGACATTTGCCATACATTGTTTGTAAAACCTCCTCTCAAAAAATCGGTGTTCAAGCTCTGGACACCAGCAGGATTTTTGTTCAGAAAAGCATAATATTGTCCAATACTGGGTTTGTTCCTGACCAAGCTAAAAGAACCTGAGGTAATATCTAAACAAGGTCTGCTCTGCCATAATACCAGGAGGGTATACACTATTTTCCAGAGAATAACTGAAGGCAGGGAAGAAATTATAACCCTTTTATGTCCAAAACTTTTCATCCAGCAGTAAAGAAAGGAAAATGTTCTCACTGCTGAGAGTCCCAGTGACAAAATCACTGACCAAGGACTGAAATCAGCAAGGAGCTGGAGGATGAACAAACCTCATACGACCCACGGGGTGCTGGATTTCAGGGAAAACAAATTCCTGCTGCCAGGAGAGGGAGAAAACTCACCGAGGCTGGGGCTTCACTGCTGCCCGTGGAGGTCAGGGTGCTGGCAGTGACAGATTTCTTTGGCAGCTGAGGGCTGGCTTCTGGCTTGGCCTCCATGCTGCTCTTGGAGGAGCTGTCGTTGACTTCATTCTCCTCCACCGGGATTTCTTCGCAGTAGCTGGGACGCCACAGAGAACACAGGTTTTTATGGTTACCCCTCTCACAACAGCTACAGCTGCACACACAGAGCAAGTGAGAATGTTTCTATGAAGTTTCCAGGCTTCCAGAAGCAGGAATGGCTCAGTGCAGAAGAGAGAAAGCCCCAATTTTTTGGGTGTTTATACAGGGACTGACAAGCATCAGCATTTTCTGGCCGTGCAACACTGCCTGGCCTTGTGACCAGTGGGGTGCTTTGGCATTTCTAGAATTGCTCAGCTGGCTCAGCAGGCATTTCAGTCCCTCCCAGTGTGCCTTAAGTTTTAGCTTTTATATTTTTCAGATTCTGTGCTGCTTTAGTTTGTAAGTCTGGGCTTCACATGAGGGGATGCTGAGCTCTGTGCACAGAGCAGGGAGACAAAACAATTCCTGCTCCAGCTGGGCACCAAGGACAAATGATCCAAATCTCAGCCCAGGAGCACAAACACCGTGGGCTGGAGAGAGAAAAACAAGCAGGATGGGACTGCCTGGGCTAAAGCTGGAATGGGACAATGAACTCCAAGGTGCCAATGGAGCAGAACTGATCCCAGGGAGAGCCCCCGGGAGCGCTCGTGCATTTTGGGACCATTTTGGTTCATCTTGGGTTCATTTTGGGACCATTTTGGTTCATCTTGGGTGCAGCCCTGGCTGGGCTCTGGTGCTGCCCAAGGTGGATCCATTGAGGAGATCCTTTTAATAAATCCCTGCTTTATTCTTTAGCTCTGCCCAGCCTCTGTCATTAGTATAGAATAATATAATATAAGATGATATAATAATGCAATTGGTCAGCCTTCTGCAATCATGAAGTTAATGCTAATTATTAGTATTTAATGCTAATTATTAAATATAATATAAGATGATATAATAAAGCAATTGGTCAGCCCTCTGCAATCACAGAGTCAATGCTAATTATTACTAGTTAATGCTAATTATTAGTAGTTAATGCTAATTATCAAATATAAGATGATATGATACAATAAAGCAATTGGTCAGCCTTCTGCAATCATGGAGTTAATGCTAATCATTACTAGTTAATGCTAATTATTAAATAGAATATAAGATGATATAATAAGCAATTGGTCAGCCTTCTGCAATTATGGAGTCAATGCTAATTATTAGTAGTTAATGCTAATTATTAAATATAACATAAGATGATATAATAAAGCAATTGGTCAGCCCTCTGCAATCAATATTAATTGTTCCCCAGCTGGGGCCCGTGGCCACCTCTGCCCCTGGCAGAGCCTGTGCACTCACCCCATGGTGTTGAAGTCGTCGTCGGGGGGCACGTAGTCCTCGTCGTCGCTGGTCAGCCCCAGCTCGTTGCCGTAGCACTGGTGCACAAAGTGCCAGAGCTCCTTGGGACACAGCGGCTGCAGGGGGGACACGGGTCAGGCACAGCACCTGAGACACGGAGTCACACTGCCACAGCACGGGCCCTGCCCTGACAGGGGGAGTGAGTTCTGCTACCTGAGCTGAGACCCTGCTGGCGGCTCAGTTCTGTGACATTCCATTGTACGGAAACAATTAAAGAATTGTTTACTAGTATTTAATTATTATAAATTACGTATTATATTATATTATATAATCCTTAATATATATATTGTAAGTATTATTATTATTTAATTATTATAAATTATGTATTACATTATATTATATAATCCTTAATATATATATTGTAAGTGTTATTATTTATTATAAATTAAGGATTATATTGTAATAGAATAACATATTAATAATCTATTAATAATAATATATTAGTATAATTATTATAATACTAATATTAATTCTTTTTATTATTTATATATAAATTAAGTAATAAAAATTATACAAATAATATAATAATATATACATCTATATATTTTATATTTTATCATTAAATATTTATATATTTAAATATATATATTTATATATGTAGATATATGCAATACATAAAATATTATAAATATAATAAATATTATATTTATATAATTATAAATACATAATTTATATGCTTTATATTTATATTCTTATATATATAAGTAATAAAAATTATACAAATATAATATATACATTTATATATTTTACCATTATATATTTTTATATATTTTATATATTATATATGTATATGTAAAGATATGCAATACGTTATGAATATAACTATTATATTTATATAATTATAAATATATAATTTATATATTTATAGTGATATTTACGTATAAGTAATTAAAATTATATAAACATAATATGAAAATATATATATTTATATATTTTATCGCTATATATTTATATATGTAATCCATAAAATATTATAAATTCAATAACTATTATATTTATATAATATAAAAATATATAATTTATATGTTTTATAGTGATATTTTTATGTTTTAAATATTAATTTTAAAATAATATATTCTAAATACATTTTATAATAGATCCTTTTATTTTAAATACACTCAAATATAATAAACATTATAAGACAGCAAATTATATATAATGTACTATGTCTGTAATTTTACTTATTATATGTAACATACAATATATAAATATATAATCATATATATAATAAAATAAATAATCTCTATATAAAATATAAACCCATATATAATCATATATATGATATATCTAATTATATATAATATATGCAATTATATGCATATATAATATATATTATATATCTATTATGTATATATAATAAACATATGCAATGCTTTATTATATTATTATTTATTGCTATTACATTTGATTATTTATTTAATATATTATTATTTATTGCTATTACATTTGATTATTTATTTAATCTCTGGCCTAGACATTCCCCTCGTGGACCACACACAATCACCAGTAATCCTCCAGCATGAACCCAAATGTGATTTTGATTTTTTTCTGTGATTTTGAATTTTTCTGTGATTTTTCCATGCCACAATCTCCTGTTAACTCAGAAACATCAGCAGCTCCCCCCGGAGCAGCACAGGGATGAGATTTCCCACCAGGAAAGGGGCTGGAACATCCCCATGGAAGCACCAAACCTGCATTTCCCCCACAGCTGCTCCTCCCACCTCTTCTGCTCTGCATCGCTTTAATCTCTGCAGCTCCACTAAACTCCAAGATTTTATGAAGTTTTTTTTTACCCTCTGCGCTTCAACTATTTTAAATCAAAGCTGCCTGAAAAATCCCAGCTGCAGGGAAAACGATCTAAAGCAGCAAATGAATAAAAACATTTCCTGCTGCAGTTTGGAATCAAAAGGAGTTTGTGTCATCAGACACCCCTGTGAAACATACAGAAAAGTAAAAAAAAAAAAAAAAATTTAAATATCCAGACCATTGAAAAAAAGGCCAGATTTTAGGGATGCAGGTCAGTGATCACCACATGACTGTGACATGAGGCTCTGAAAAATGGGGCAGGAAAACTTGTGATTTAAAGATCTGGTACAGGCATGAAAGGGGACTTTTACCCCTAAGAAACTTATGACCAACGACAAAGATTTCTTGGTAATGAGGGGAAACAAACCCAGTGAACTTTTTCTGAGTTGCTGGCTTGAATTTCCTCCTGTAGTAACTACATGGGATAAGGCAGGAATTTTTTAATTTTTTAATTTAGCTCCCCACAGCAGCAACCAAAAGCAGCTCTGTCCTGCAGGGCAGCGTGTGGGGCTCTGCCCTCAGTGGGATGGTACAAACATTAAATACCACAAACTACCTGTGCTGGATTTACAATAACGTGCCAATATCTGTCACCTACGTTGGACAGTGTGTCCCCAGCCTGAACCAACAGAAAAATGCCAACACCACAGTGAAACATGGAGGGCATGAAGAAGGAGAAAAAGGACAAGACACACCCAATTTCCTCCATCTTGTCCCCTTTGGACCCCTCATCTAGAATCCTAAAATTTTACTTTTGCACCTGTGCCACACTTAATTATTACTCATATCAAACACTCAGAGCTTGTAATTGATCCTGTAAGATTGAAAACTCTTTTCCATGGCCAGAGATCACAGCCAGTGTCTCTGGGGGCTCTGTCCAGGGGGGTTCCTGACCCCTGCCAGGGTCCCAGACCCGCCAGGGCAGACAGAGGGAAGCCCTGGGTTCCCACACTCAGGTTACAAACACAGGATGCCCAAGGCAAGGTGATCCTTTCTCCTCCTAAATCCCAGCCCAGTTTTTGGGACAGGGTTGAAACGTAAATTTTAAGGAATTTAGAGATTTTAGAAGAGCTAAGATTTTAGTTAGAAATAAGCCTTACTAGAGTTAATTGAAATAAATGAGTAGGCCTCGATGAAGTTAAGAGTTAGTAGTTAACTAATAATCAATTGTTTGTCAGCACAGTGTTGAGTTAGCTGGGTTTATAGTGAAGAATACACAAACTGACCAACAGCTTTTAGGAACATAAGACAATTGTGGGCAATTGAAGACAAGGAATGGGAGTTCTACCAAGAGTTCATTTGTCAGATTGGCATTGAAAAGGTAGAAAGGTCAGAAGGAGGAAGACTTCATTGACTTCCTCATTTTGGGACCCCTCCCCATGAAAGGGACACCGACCCATTTCAAGGGACAAACCACGCATGCTGAATGGCTTTTGGAGTGATCAGCATAGGAAGCGGGGAATGGGATGTACCAAAATGATGAATATGTATTTGTATTTTGGGTATTCCATACTTGTATGGATAAAAGGGCTCTGTAATCACCTGGAAGCTGCGGTGTGGATTTGGGAGCAATCCCACACACAATAAACACTCACTTTCTAACTTTAAACTGTTAGAGAGTTTTTGTCCGTCACAGCTGGATATCGGTACTAGATCAATATCCATATTTTTAATAAATCAGGGTATTCCCAGTGCTTCATTCCTCCAGCAGGGTCTGAATTCCAGCCTGGGCACCCTGAAATGCTGGAAGCACTGCAACATCAGGTTTAGTGCTGCAGGAAGGCCAGAAATCCCCTCCCCACTGTGGAACAGATACTCGGATCAAATCCAGGATTTACAGGGCCTCTGGCACAGCAGGAGCAGATTTATTTTAAAATCCGGCCCTCACCCAGGGCACCCTGCACCCACAACTGCTCTCCCTTGGATTTGGGATACCCTGAGCACTCATTTTCTGTCTGGTCCTCCACACTCCTGGAGCACAGATTTACTGAGATTTCTGCACAGTGAGTTATTCCTGCTGCTTTTTGAACCGCTTTCTTGAGGGCTGCTCAACTGTGGAATTACAGAATTCAAAAAAAAAAAATTCCCTCCTGAGACCCTGATTCCTCAGCAGAGGCAGAGTGGCACCTACTGTGTATGATTTCCCCCAGAAAAGGGCGATTAACACCAGAAAAAAAAAAATTCCTTGCAAAAAGAGGGAAATTGCATCTGCACTCATGAGCCTGCTCTGCCTAAACACCTGTGTTTAATGTCCCTTCTGCCCAAAAACACTTGTGTTTGCTGTCCCTAGGTGTTTTTTCAGTCAGAAGTGATGCTCCTGCCCACATCCATCCCACCCCAGCTCTGAGCTTTCTCTCTGTACCTTGTCAAGCAGAGCATTCTGCCAGAGTCTGAACATCATCATGTACGTCCTGTCTCGAGCCCCAAAGGAAGTAAAAAAGTGCTGGATGGGGAGAGAGGGAGAGAAAAATCAGCTCAGGAAAAGCCACAAAACAGGAGAAGAACACAACAAGGCTGCTTGGGGTCACTTTCCAGCACAGAGTGGAGCTCTCACCAGCGAGTGAGCACTGAACAGCTCTGTTAGAGATGTGCTGCTGTAAAACCTGGATATTTCCCCTGGCCCACACCCCCCATCTGAGCTCCCACCTCAACCCAAGCCCTTTTCCCATTTTGGAAGAATCCCCCACACTCTGAGTGCCCTGCCAGCCACACAGGTGTGGCCTCAGTACCTTTTCAGTGTCAGTGCAAACTTGGATGGCATTGGGAATGAGCCGTGCTGTCTTCTCCTTGGTCATGGAGCAGATGTCCTTCAAGCGAACTGTCAGCTGCACCAGGCAGGGAAAAACACCAGGAAAGGGAGAAATTCATGAGAAAGGCAGCAGAAGAGCCAAAGTGAGCACAGCCCCAGGGTCAGCAGCAGTGGGAGAGCCTCACCAGTGTCTCCCAGCAGGGAAAAACACCAGGAAAATGAGAAATTGATGAGAAAGGCAGCAGAAGAGCCCTTCCAAAGCAAATTTGAGCACAGCCACAACATCAGCAGCAGTGGCAGAGCCTCACCAGTGTCTCCCAGCAGGGAAAAACACCAGAAAAGGCAGAAATTGATGAAAAAAGCAGCAGAAGAGCCTTTCCAAAGCCACTGTGAGCACAGCCCCAGGGTCAGCAGCAGCAGGAGAGCCTCACCAGTGTCTCCCAGCAGGGAAAAACACCAGGAAAATGAGAAATTGATGAAAAAGGGAGCAGAAGAGCCTTTCCAAAGCCACTGTGAGCACAGCCCCAGGGTCAGCAGCAGTGGCAGAGCCTCACCAGTGTCTCCCAGCGGAAGATGTTGCTGTAGAAGCAGATCCAGTTCTCGGAGAGGTAGAGGCGGCCCTGCAGGAGAATGTCTCGCTGGAGAGCACATGAGTAATCTGTGGGAGGACAGCACGTGGTCAGTGAGGAGCAGAAAAGCCACAAGGTGCCACTGATGCCTTAAGGTTTTTGTGGTTTTCAAATCCTGTGGTGCATTAGTGCATGACTCTAAACTCCATATGAAGTGTAGTTAACTCTTCATGTGTTCGTCAGACAAAACAACTCCTCTGGGCCTGAAATTCAAGGACACCCTACAGCCTCAGGTCCCAAAAAGTGTAAAGTGGAGTTTAGTATATAAAGTATAAAGTGGGGTTTAGTGGAGCAGCAGACATTAAATAGAGGCACAGCAAAAGAAAAAAGAATTGGGAAGGGAAGAAAACTGGGGGAATATGACTTCATTACCTGAAGCTGTAATTGGACAATTAACCCCTGATATGCAAATGGACTAAACTTATAATTGTCTGAAAAACTTGTGACCATTTTGGGTGTAGCCCCGTAGGGAGGCTTTGACTGCCCTTAATGTACCTGAAGGCCCTTCATTAAATATATCCACTTAATAAATATATGCTTTAAACTTTGTCTGGCAAAGCCCAAAAAAAGGCATCAGGAGAGCCTAAAGGTGAGGATGAGCATCAAGAGAAATTAACTCAGCAAGGCAAAGGCAGGGCCAGCAGGAGCTGAGCCCCATTTGCTGCCTGTCCACGGGGCTGTTTCCTCCAAGGGCTTGTCCCAGGAAATCTCTGTCCCTGCCTGATGATCCTGCCTTATCAGCTGCTCACCCTGCAGCATCCCAAGTGCTATCTCCAGATTTCATCTGTCTTTTGCTTTCTGTCTCTCAGTGGCATTGTGCATTTCCCCCAGTTTAAGCAGTGTGGGGCACAGGAGAGGGTCACCAGTCATGTCACACACAGGAGCAGAGGCATCTCTGTGGCAGCCACATTATTCTCTCTCTCAGGATTTTTTAATAGAGGAGCACAGAGGAAAGAAAGAGAAAACAATTTCTATTTCTGCTCCTTGTTTTTTCCCATGTGGAATGTGTGTGGAGAATTGTTTACCTGGGGTGGTTGCTTGGTTGGATTCTGGTGAGGATTGTTTGAGCCTGGTGGCCAATCCAACCCACCTGGGGATGGGCTCTCAGAGAGGGGCACGAGTTGTGAGTCAGATATGGGAGTTAGAAAAAGTAGGTTTGTAGTTTTAGTATCTCCTTTAAATACTATATTAATGCATTATAGTATAGTTCTAACAAAGAAATCATTCAGCCTTCTGAACTGGAGTCAGACATCAGCATTTCTTCCCACCAGGTTCCCCTGCATTTCCAATACATCTCACCAGCTGTGAGGTGAGGTTTGGGAAGGGCAGTCATGGGTGAGCAGCGGTGTTGGGAAAAGGGAGAGGAAAAAGGGAGGAAAAGATCACATCATCCCCCCACCAAATGAGGAAAACCCATCAGAAAATGCAAAACTCATTGGAAATGGGGTTCTGCCTGTGCTCCAGGCTTGTGTCAGTGGCAATGTCTGGAGATTAAAGGAGTGAGGGATTTCTCTTTACAAACTAACTGTGGCTCTGCTGGGAGATAAACCCAGCCCTGAGAGAGAAAAGAAACAAAGGAAGGATCCCATTGATGAATGGATGAAAAGAATGAGAGAGATTTGTCTTTGCAAACAAACTGTGGGGCTGCTGATAAATAAAGTTGGATGCTGAGAGATGAAAGAAACAATGGGAAGAGCCATAAATTCCATAGGAATTCCACTGATTGACACAAGGAAAAGACAAAATAAAAAGGGGGGTACACATTAGATGGGGGTTTGTAGTAGGGAAGTCTGAACCTCTCAAGGAACTCAGCTAATGGGGAAGAGAGGGAAATGTGGCTGGGAAATTGGGATAAAAAGGAAGCTGTGTCCTCTAAAAATTGGAGAGACCCCAGGGAAATGCCCCATGGCCTCTCCCTTTATTCCAATAAAGTTAGAGGACTCCTCTGTCTCCTTTTTGGACATAAACCCCTGGTGTTTGGGGATGGATTTCCCTGCCAAGAACTAAAACCTGGCTGGATATGTGCTGCTCTCCTCCCCAAAACTCCTCGGGGGCTGCCCTTACCTGTCACTATTGGACACAAAATGAGTACACAGAAATTTGTTAAGTTTAAAAGAGAAAAAGACCCAGTTTTATTCCAACAACTGGTATTTATAGAATTCCAAAGGTGACTATGGATTAGAGGATGGAATTACCATTTCTTTAACTACACTGGTCTAAAGATCAATCAATCATTTCTCTTTATCCACAGAGAAATATGTAAACTATTCTATTTATACATGAAATAGTGTGGGAACTCTGACTCTCAAACATGTAAACATTATTAGAAGGCTAAAGAAATTTTATAAAAACTTTAAAACTTTCAAAAGAAAACACTTTTAGAAATCAGGGCAACACTCACCTACGATGAGGCGCTCCGTGTCCGGGAGCTGCTTGAAGAGTTTCCTGAAATCCTCGTTCCGCTGCTTGTACGTGGGGCTCAACACCTGCCAAAAAAAAAGGGGCTGGTGAGGAGAGGGGCAGCCAGGACAGCTGGGACAGGAGTGGGGAAAGCAGGGACACCTCAGGGACACCTCAGGGACACCTCAGGGACACCAGGAGAAGGGGGGCAGAGGCGTTGAGGAGCTCCCATCACAGCCTAGCGATGGGAGGGTTTGGGTTTTAGGGTAGGGAGCGAGAGGAAGAGGAGAACCTGGCTTGGGAGAGCCAAATCCAGGCTGGAAAAGCTGCAGCAGAGAGGAATTCTCTGTCCAAGGTAGGATGTGTGCTCTGCTTGCAGCAGTCACCTGCCTAATGCCAACCACGGTGCAGCTACCCCAGGAAATAGGAGATTCATCCCAGAAAATGGGGGATTTACCCCAGATAACGGGGGATTCAGCACAGAAAACAAGTGATTCGGCACAGAAAAAGGGGGATTTATCCCAGAAAATGGGGGACTCAGCATAGAAAAGGGGTGATGTACCCTGGAAAAATGGGGCATTTACCCCAGAAAATGGGGCATTCGGCACAGAAAATGGGGAATTCAGCACAGAAAATGGGGTATTTGCCACAGAAAATAGGGGATTCACCCCAGAAAACAGGATGCAGCACAGAAAATATATTTACCCCAGAAAACAGGTGATTCAGCACAGAAAATAGGTGACTTACCCCGATCAACAGATGATTTATCCCAGAAAATGGCTGATTCACCCCAGAAAATGGGGTATTTGCCCCATAAAACAGGGGATTCACCCCAGAAAACAGGATTCAGCACAGAAAATAGATTTACCCCAGAAAACAAGTGATTCAGCATAGAAAATAAGTGATTTACCCCAGAAAATGGTGGATTTGCCCCATAAAACGGGGATTCACCCCAGAAAAGAGGATCCAACACAGAAAATAGATTTATCCCAGAAAACAGGTGATTCAGCACAGAAAATAGGTAATTTGCCCCAGAAAATGGAGGGTTTACCCCAGAAAATAGGGGATTCACCCCAGAAAACAGGATTTGGCACAGATAATAGATTTATCCCAGAAAAACGGGTGATTCGGCCCAGAAAATGGGAGATTCACCCCAGAAAATGGTTGATTCAGCACAGAAGAAGGGGGATTCATCAGAGAAAATGGGGGATTTACCCCAGGAAACAGGTAGTTCAGCCCAGAAAATGGGGGATTCACCCTAGAAAATGGGGGGTTTGCCCCAGAAATTGGGTTATTCAGGCCTGCCAGAGGGAGTTTGAGCAACCACTGTCACTGAGAGCTCAGGATTCCCCCTGCCCACCCCTCTCCTTCACTTCTCAAAAGGCTTCTCAGTTCTCAAAATCCTCCAAAAAGCCTCTCCCGGGGCCTGCCCTTGTTTTGTGCCCTGGCCTCAAGGCAGGGCTCAGGGAAAATGGGGCTGGAGGGACATCAGGTTCCTCTCTGGGGTTTATGGTGTGACAGCCCACACCTCCTACAGCTGCTCCCGACAGCCACAACTCCTCCTGCGGCCTTCAGAACAGAGACAGCTGCAATTCCACATCTCCCAGAGAATCTGCAATGTTCTTTCTCCCACAAATGCAGAGAAGAAGCCACCTGGGGTACAACATTTCCCCTCTTTATCCAACAATCCAGAGGCAGTGATCTCCTAGGGCAGAAATGTGGGAGTGTTTCAGCAAGGGTCCCAAAAATCTGAGATTAGAGAAGGCAGTTTCTGCTTAAGAATGGTGGTGGAGCCACAGGGGTGGGAGGAATACAGAGTTTATTCAGAATTAGCCTCACAGCACTGCCAAAAGCTATGGAGGATTTACCCCATAAAACAGAGGATTCTCCCCAGAAAACAGGATTCAGCACAGAAAATAGATTTATCCCAGAAAACAGGTGATTCAGCACAGAAAATAGGTAATTTACCTCAGAAAATTGAGGATTTACCCCAGAAAACAGGATTCAGCACAGAAAATAGATTTGTCAGATCAGAATTTGTCAGATCAGAAAATGTCAGATCACGGCAGATTTGATGTTGTCAAATCACAGACAACCCCTCGCCCCCAAAAGCATTCCCTGTTCCTCACAGCAGCTTAGTGCACTAGAAACAGAATATTCCAACACTTGCTCCAGCCCCATGAGCCCAGAGGAAGGGATCTAACTCGGAGCAAAACCTGCCAACCAGCTGATGACAGAAATACGAATTGTACTTACCAAACTCCCAGCCTGAACATCTGGAAAAGATCTTGGTCTGAGAAGGGCTCCAGCAGGAGCCCAAGCCCAAGATTTCCAGGAACAAGCAGACAGGATGGGGACGGAGCAGGGAAAAGGGATTACAATCCCTGCAGGGCTGAGCTTTGGGCTCAGTGCAGCCCAGCTCAGCAGGAGCTAAAACCTGTCCTACCCAGACCTGCCAGGGTGCAAACAGCTCAGTTTAGAGACACTCACAGCTGGGATTTCATCAGCTCCAGGGCTGGCATTTCCTCGAGAGAAGTCCACGAGTCCCTCTGGGTCCCACCGCAGCCACGGCAGCTCTTGATCCAGGAAAAGATCCCAGAGGGAGCCACACTCCAGCAGGGAATCCATCTCCTTCCCTCGGCCCTGCCCAGCTCCACTCTGCTCCTCCTGCTCCCACTGCTCCTTGTTTACGTCCAAAGTCGAGAGGGGTGCAGCTTGGCAGGAGTTGGGGCCAGTTTAGGTGCCTTCCCCCTCTTTCCTGCCCACATCCAGCTGCTCCCCTGAGGATCTCGGCGAGGATTTGCCCTCCAGAGCACTTTTCCCAGAGAGGCTCATGGGGGTGACTGCGCTGCTGGGCACCCTCTGTGCTGTCCTGCTGCAGCCTCAGCAGCTCCTTGCTGCGGGCATCCCCTGCAGGAGCCCTGGCAGGTGTGAGCAGGGCAACAGCAGCCCCCAAATGCCCAGGAGTGCCAGATCCCACCCCAAACAGCTCCGGCTGCGACTCACGCGGCTGCCAGGACCCGGCAGGAGGCACGGAGCTCCGAGCTCAGCTGGCCCCTCTTTGCAAGCAGAAAAGCAGCGATTCTGCCCCCTCAGGCTCTCCCCTCTGCTCCCCAAGGCAGCCTCAGCCTCTGTGCTTCTCATGGAAGGGAAGATCCCAAAATGACTGCACACGCCGGGAGTCACTGGAGCCGGGAACGCTGGCGGCCAATGCCCGGCAGTAACCCAGCCCTGCCTCCCAGCAGATGTTTCCTGTCGTGGAAAGCTGCTGGACAGAGCGTGCTGGGGAGCTGAGGGGAGCCTGGGATGTGGCTCCTGTCCCACTCCTGCACATGGGCTCCTGTCCCACTCCTGAACATGGGCTCCTGTCCCACTCCTGCATGTGGGCTCCTGCACCACTCCTGCACATGGGCTCCTGTGCCATTCCCTGAACATGGGCTCCTGTCCCACTCCTGCACATGGCTCCTGTCCCACTCCTGAACATGGGCTCCTGTCCCACTCCTGCACATGGGCTCCTGTCCCACTCCTGCACACAGGCTCCTGTCCCACTCCTGTCCCACTCCTGCACATGGGCTCCTGTGCCATTCCCTGCACGTGGGCTCCTGTCCCACTCCTGCACATGGGCTCCTGTCCCACTCCCTGAACATGGGCTCCTGTCCCACTCCTGCACACGGGCTCCTGTTCCACTCCCTGCAATCCTCAGCGCTGGCTTTGCTCTCCCAGACGCTGCTGGGCTCCCCTTGATCTGCCCACACTGTGACTGGGACAGCAAATATTTCTGATATTCTGATATTTAGGAACACCTGAAAGAGGCAATTGGCTGGTGAGGGGCTGGGAACACAAACCCTGTGAGGAACCACTGAGGGAGCTGGGGGTGCTCAGCCTGGAGAAAAGGAGGCTCAGGGGTGACCTTGTCACTCTCTGAACTCCCTGAAAGGTGGCTGTGCTCAGCTGGGGTTGGGCTTTTTCTCCAGGAGCTGACAGAACCAGAGAACACAGCCTCGAGCTGCACCAAGGGAAATACAGGTTGGATTTTAGGAAAAGTTTTTTCACAGAAAGGGTGATAAAGTTCTGGAATGGCTGCCCAGGGAGGTGGTGGAGTCACCATCCCTGGGTGTGTTTAAAACAAGCCTGGATGTGGCACTGGGTGCCAGGGTTTGGTTGAGGTGTTGGGGCTGGGTTGGACTCAATGATCTTGATGGTCTCTCCCAGCCTGGTGGTTCTGTGATTCTCTAAATTCTGTGATTTTGTGTCTTTTCACTGCTCAGGTCAGTTAAAGGAAGAAAAAAAAATATTCATGCATGTGATAGATAAAAATAAAGGATGTGTCTGGGACGAACAGCCATGGGAGGCCCACACAGGTAGAAATCTTGAGGGGCTGCACCTCTGGGTGCATCTCTGAGCCCACTCTTCTCCCTCAAAAAATAGGATTTTCTAGGATTCATTCATTAGTCAGGTCACTTTGCAAATAAAGGGCTGAATGAACTCCCTGCAGGTCCAGGAGCTTGCCTGGGTTCTGGCACTCCCTGTGCCCCTCTGCCCTGAGTCCCAGCCGCTCCAGCTCCCTGCCCAGGTGCAGACGTGCCCACAGCAGGGCACCAGACCTGCTCAGCTGCCAGCAAACACTGAAATAAACCCCTCATTCTTCCAGAAGTGAGCACAGAGATCTCAAAAAGCACCAAGCAGCCAACCCAGCCCTGCAGAGGCTCTGCTCTGCTCCAGGCCAGGGCAGCAATTTGCTCACTGACAAGCTCAAAATCACTGAGGCATAGAGGTGTCTCCACTCAGCACTGCAGCAGTGCATCCATCTGCACCCCAAGATGAGGGAGTAATTTAAAAAAAAACATTCTGTAGCCTGTAAAGGACAAAGAATTGGCATTACAGCCACCTGCAGTGCTTTACTGAATGACCCCTTGGCTGGAAACTCCAAATGGGATTGAATTTAAAAAAAAAAACCTCCCCCAGCCACCTGTGTTTGCAGAGGCGGTGCCAGCAGTGAGGGGAAGAGCTGAGCTGGGGCTGGAGGCAGCAAACATTAACTCCACTGCAAACACAGAGACGGGACAGGATGGCACTGCCCAGGTGAGGGAACCGCTCCTGGGACATGGGGACACAAGGGTCACTGCCCGTGGTGGCATCTCCCCGTGGTGACATCCCCATTCCACACAAACAAATCCTCCACGGGAAAGGGATGGACAGAGAACACGAAACCTGAGGAATGCTGAGTCTTGGACAGCACAGAAAACAGGGAGCAGAGATGGCAGGAGGCACACAGCAGAGAGGGGAGGAAAAGCTCATCCAATTTTCATGATTGATGGATTTCTGTGATTTACATTGCTTCTGGGAAACCACTGGAATAAATAAAACATGTTTCCTGCTTGGGTGGGAGAGTTTAGACCCCACTGAGAGCAGGGCTGGTGTGAAAAACCAGCAAAGAAATTGTCCACCTGTCCAACAGCACCTCCTCTAAACCCATTCTGTTTGCTCAGATTTTCCAATTTTTTCCTTTTTCTCCTTTTAAAAGTGAATGAAAAGCAGAGGAAGGCGCTTCCAAGTAATCACTGGGGTCTGGGCTGGAAAATGGGTCTGAGTTCATCATCACATAAGCTTGCACTAAGAGTTTACTGCTGATTTAGTGCCTCTACAACCCAGCAACTGGTAATCCACACACTGAAAGTCATGGAAAACCTGACAGGATGAAAAGTGCTTGAAAGGCAGGGAGTTCAACATTGCTCCAGAAATAATCTGATGAAATGGTTACTGGGAGTTGAAAGATGATTGTGTTGATTTACAGAGAAAAGGGGGAAATCTGGCAGGATGAAAAGTACCTGGAAGGCAGGGAGCTAAACACTGCTCCAGAAATAATCACTCAGATGAAGTTATTACTGCGAGTTCACCATTATGAAATGGTTACTGGGAGTTGAAAGATGATTGTGCTGATTTACAGAGAAAAGGGCTCTTCAACACTTGCTCACTCATCAGGCCTGGATTTCTGCATTAAACTCAGTTCCCATGATTGCTGCTGCTGAGGGAGCCTCACCTGCCACCCCTGGGAAAGGTGTTGCTGATGTTCTCCCTAAAACGAGGCACAGTTCCCCTTTGCCTTTACAGGGAACGTTTTACTCCTTCAGCAGCTGAGCCTCCCCTCCACTGTGGTATCCAAAAGATCTGCTCAGAGTTCCCCACAAAGAACGTTTGCAGCATCACAATCCACGACAGATCCTCAGCCAGCTCCTTCCCCTGCATTTCCCCAGAGGAAAACTCTGGCCTCTCTCCTTTATCTGCTTCCCCACTGGCATTTTGGGGTTATTTTTGAGACTCTGAGCTGCTGCCAGGCCGAGGGCTGCCCTGTGTGCACGGATTTGTTGGCAGAGCTGCAGGAGCAGAGCTCCTCTGCCACTCCCTGCAAATCCTCAGCGCAGACTTTGCTCTCCCAAACACAGGTGGGGAGGACTGGGCTCCTACTGATCTGCCCACACTGACTGGGACAGCAAATATTTCTGATATTCTAATATTTAGGAACAGCTGAAAGAGACAATTGGTGTCTTTTCACTGCTCAGGTCAGTTAAAGGAAGAAGAAAAATATTCAGGCGTGCAATAGATAAAAATAAAGGAATACAGAGCAAGGCAGACCTTGGGATGTAAATGCTGAAGTGAAAACATCATGGATTTAAATCCCACCTCTTCCCTGGTGTCAGCTGTGTTTTCTCTAACTTTTCAAGTTCATCTTATTCATTCTCTTTTCCAGAGCATCCTCTGGATTCTCCTGATGCCTGGTGCTGAATTTAAGAAGCAAGCCTTGCTGTAGAGCAGCAGAAATGCTGCAGAATAATGAGAGCACACACCCTGATCTGGGAACAGGGAACTGGAAGGATTCACAGCCCAAGTGAGGCAGAATGAGGCAGGAAAACCATGGCAGATTTGGCAGGCTTAGTGACACAGAAATGAGAGCTCTCCATGGCCCGAAATGGGGCCCTTTGCCCAAAACCCAGAGGAGAAAAGGAGAGAATGAGAGAGATTTTATCTCCAGTTTGTCTCTCATTTTAATGGCATCTGCTGGGTGACAAGTGTCTTCTCCCAGCACCCCCACAGACAGAGCAGCTCCTCCTTGGTGTCCTCAGGGAAGCAGAACAACAATTTCCCACCTTGCAGAGCACCTCAGGGGTACAGAGTAAGGCACATCTCTATTTCAGCAAACAGAACTACAAAGGGAGTTTAGCTTTAAGGCCTGAGGTCTATTTTTATGAATTCTTTTTAAAATAATAAATGAATTAACAAGAATTCCCCACTCAGACACACAACCCAAAGCAGACACTACTGATGGTTAAACCACAAGTGACCAACTGAGTTTTTTTCCCCTACAAACCACAATATTTCCAAACCAAAGTCTCCACGTACACAGTTCCTCACAAAAGGCTTGAGAAGCACCTCAGGGATTTTTCCTTTCTACTGATCTTCTGCTCTCCCACCACGAGGACAAGAACACAAAGCAAACCCCAAAACTCTGAGTGCATTTATTCCCAAACTGGGGTTCTCTTCTCAATCTCACCGTGCACCTGCACCAGTTTGCATCTGTCCTCTGCAAAGCCAAGCAGAGAAAGCACAACCAGAGAGAGGGGCAGCTCTGCCAAACCAACCCATGACCTCACTTCACCCTTTCCTCCCACTTTTCCAGGGGGCAGGGATGGCAATCCCAAAAAAGCACTGGTGGGATCGACAGCAGGACACACAATGGTGGCATCTTCAGGAAAAAAAAGAAAAAAATAGAGAAAAAGGAATCCAGGAGAGGGGAAAGGGAGGGTTCCTATTGGCAAAGAGGAATGCAGTGTTCCAGAGACAAAAAGACCAGTTAAAAGCAGCAAAAAGATGAAGAAAACTGGTGATGCCCTGCAGATTTTTGAGGCCCATGTGCTCTTTTAGGGATTATTTTTTGGGTTGGGTTGGCACAGTGCCTGGCACATAGAACAGTGTGGAGGGTGTTTGCCCTGGGCACGGTGGGGTTGGTGTAAAATGAGAGTGGGGGAAAGTGAGCAGAGGAAATGGTGAGGTTTCATGAAGAGGCGGATTCCACTGATCCATTTCTAGAGCTGCCCTCGAGGGGAGAGGAATGGAGGAACCAGAATGGTCCAAATGGCAGAAAACTTTGCCAAAATTTGCCTGGAAGGAGCTGGCAGAGAAGGGAAACTCTATCAAGGAGATGAATTAGCAAATTTTTAATGGAAATAACACTGCCAAGTAGGACTGACTGACTTCCTGGGTCTGTGGCTCATCCATATTTTCACACTGCTGCTTTTATCTGGCCAGAATGCCTCTGCTAACTAGAAAATGGGTTTGTTTTGTTTTGTTTACAAAGGAAAATAACGGGGTGGGGTGGGGAAAACCACAAAAAAAATGCAGCCAGTGCTTACTCTCCGGATGTACTGTCTCTCATGCTGAAAATATATGGAGGAAAAACAAGAGAACAGAAAGATAAGATAGAGAGGACATGAAAACACAAGAGACCCACAGAAGCAGAGCACAGCAAAGCATCATGCAGCAGGGAATGGAGCTCAGCAGCTACAGGCAGAAGCAGTAAGAGCCAAAGTCACCTCTACCCTGGTGACAGACAGGGTTTGGCAGCAGCCAGGTCAGACTGGGCCATCTGCTCAGTCCTTTATCTGCCACTTCTCCACCAGTTTGGCCTGCATTGGTTTGTGTTTTATTCTTAAAATAAAACATTCTTATTCTTTCATTCACTGCCTCTGTCCCTCTCTGCCTCTGGGGTCTCTCCCTGCCCGTGCTGTTCACACCCAGCAGGTTCCTAACTCTGCCTGTGCCCTCTGTCAAACCCCACCTCGCTGTTTCAGCCAAAATCCCACATTCTGCTGGCCCCCATCCTGCCATGGATGGCTGCAGGAGGGCAGGAATTTGGATGGCTGCTGCATTTGCCTATGGCTACTTCAGAGCCTCGAGGGTGGGGGCCCGACCGTGCAAAGGTGGCACCGACTTTGTGCCCAGAGCAGAACCAAAAAACACCAAGGCAGAAGCAAAGGGTGGTTGGTGTTTCTCTGGGGTTGGTGGAAAATAATTCTTCTGTGGTCCCCACACCGCCCTGAGAGATGCAAAGGGTTTGCAGGGCGGCAGCTCTGTTTGTCACCATGTGTCACCACATCCCTGAGACAGCAGAGGGGCGGGATGTGGGGAGCACCACCAGAGTGACCACAAGGACAAAGCTTCTGCTCTCTGTCTCTGGCATCCCTTTGCTCAGGATGCCAGCCCTCCTTTGCCAGTGCTGAGCCATTTCCAGCTCCTCCTTCTGGAAATGCTCAGGGTGCCCCAGTGCCTCTGCAAAGCCCCTTGGCACCTTCCCCCCACCCAGCCCACAGCCACCCAGGGACAAGAGAAATGGGAGTACTTACATTATACCAACTCTGGCTTTTCTGTAAGGACAAAATAAAAGAGAAGCATTAGTTAGCACAGAGATCTTAGGATCAAAAAGAAAGAGGGACAGAGAAAGCAGGTCCAGTCTGGTTGGGATCATTAGTGAATGAAAGTGGGATTAAACAGAAGATTTCAGTGGGTTTCCCAGTGTGGTCTAGCACAGTTATCCCCAGGCACAGGAGCAAGGGACAAATCCAGCAGCAGGAGTCTGGAACAGGAAACAGGTCAGGCCAAGGTGTGCATGTCCACATGCACACACACACAGACATGCTGCCACCTTGTCTGCAGACCAGCAGTGCCAGCCAGCAACACAGGAGCCATCCTCATCACCATCATCATCATCATCACCATCACATCATCACTGCCAGCCTCCTCTTCAGGGGCTTCATTCTCCCAGCTGGTAACACCCACATTGCCCTTGGCTCACAAAGGCCAACGTTCCAAGGGTATTTTGAATTTTAAAAGGGAGACACACACACACAGAGCCAGGATCAGTGCTGTAGAAAATCGCTAGAGAAGCTAGGCAAGGAAAAAAAAAAAAGGCTGGGATTTTTTTTTTTTTTTCAGCATTTCAGCACACAGTGTTTTGCATCATCTGCACATGTGATTTTTTTTTTTCCCCCCCATCCTTATCATGGCATTTCAGATGGTTGGAGAGGACAGGCCACACGTCACATTGGAGCACACAGAAGAGCTGGTTCAGCTTGGAAAGTCAATTTTCAGCTGCAGGTGAGATTTAACTGCAGGGAGAGGAAGAAATGAGCTTCCCACTGCAGCCAGCCTGGCTTTCCAACAGCAGGACACTGAGCTCCTGTATCCAGAGCTGCCAGCACACACAGGAATCCCCTTTTTTGGGGGGATTTCCCTCATGGCAGTGAAGCCTGGGGGCACCAGAGCCTTTCCCACCGAGGGTGGGCAGCTCCAGCTGTGCTGTCCCCTGTCCCAAACACTTCAGTGGGAGCTGAGGATAACACACAAGGACAGAAGCAATACCTCACTGCCTTTCCTCCTTTGAAGCCAACTTGCTTCTGACCTTGGAGAATTTTCCAGGCTTTGCAGGCAGTTTGGAATAGGAAGGGAAACATTCTGTGCTGTGCCTCGCCACAGAGGCTGCAGGAATTTCACTGGGAATTCCCTGGAATATTCACAGGGGCACAAACTGCCCACCAAGGGCACACAGGGTGTTCTGCCACAGGGAAGGAGAAGCGCTGATGAGGTCAGATTGGAACAGATTCCTGTGAAGACACAGGGGCTGCTCTGTTCCCACCCCAGATCTTCCTGCTCCAAGTCCCCTGTGAGCCACTCCAGCCACAAAACCTCACTGGATCCCACTCTTGGAGCCAACATCTCTGAAGGATCCATTGCACAGCTCCCAGTCCCTCATGAAAAGCCCCACAGTTACACAGCACACAGGCTAAAATACAAAAAAAATGACATTAAAAAGAGGAACACCCCCTTTTCCCCCCAAATCCTGGGGAAAGGAGATGAGCTGGGGACTGAACACAGAGCATGGCTCATATCCCACACTCATTCTTCCAACCAGAGGAATTTCCTCTTACTTCCCACTCTTTTCCATACTTGGCCATACCTGATCCATTCATAAAGGATTGGGTGGAAGTCATCCCTCCCTGCAAGTAGGACGTGGAAAAAAGCCTTATGCAACCCAGACTAGACTAAAAAAAGAAGCAGGGTAATTAATCTGAGCCATGCACACAGCACCTTGTCCTCAGGAGCACAGGGCCTGAGATGGAGTGATTTTCCTGCAGATTTGTTTTGCCATCTGTCTGCCTTAATGAGCAAAAGGCGTAACTCAGAAATTCCTGGGGGAAAAAAGCTCATAATCAAACTATAATTGGCACACACAGAGCAGAGGCACTGCTGTCACTCTGCCTCCTAAATCAGGGTGCCCGTGCTGTGGTGTCAGCACAGCCCAACAGCATTTCAGTCCCCCCTCCTGCATTCATTACAGGAACTATTTTTTTTCCCCTCCTCACATTTGAATTTCCCTGAATCAAGGGTCCTCTATAAAGGAGCTCTGCAGGTTCTTCTTTAAGCTCTTCCACACAAAAAAAATTATACTGATATCCATAATTATACTCAGGTCCATAATTTTACCAACATCCTTAATTATACCAACACTCAGCTTTTGTCTCCAACAAGTTCAACAGATTTGTCCAAAATCCAAACAACCTCAGCCCTTAAATCTCCTTCTAATTTATCTTTGGTTTTTTTTTAACTCACTGAGAGGGAGATGCAAACTGTGAAAACAAAGAGACAATAAAATGGAGAGAGGGAGGAAAAAAGAAAGAAAAAGGAAAAACATATTCTTACTTTGAGCAGGTTAAGTCTGTCATACTGGAAAAAGAAACCATAAGCATTAGAACTGAAAAGAGAAAATAAATAAGTAACAGAAGGAGGGGGTTGCACACAGACAGGGAGAAGATGGGACAGGTTTGCAAAGATGATGCTACAGGAGAACAGAGCAGAGCTCGTGGTTACAAGGGGGCTGTAACCAGGCAGAGCTGTGGAGGAATGTGAAAAATGGAATATTTGCTCTAAGCCTTGAATTGTTGCCTCTAAATAGTCACGGTTTAGTGACCTGACATCTGTGTGCACTGCTGGGGAAGGTCACAGCTCTGCAGGGCACACACCAAACCTCTCCTGACAGCTCCAAACAGAGCTTCCACCCCTCAGCAGCATCACACCTGGCTCCCTGCTGCTCCCAGGGGAACAGAACCCTTCTGCCAAGTGAATGGTGTGCCACAGAGCTCTAGGAGCATCCCAAAATCCCCTTCCCACCTGGGCAAGCAGAGGCACAGAACCAGAGCTCAGAACAGATATTCTGGAGCCCTCTCTCCTCATCTGTGCTCTGGCAAAAGCTACGCTGCCCACCCGGCTTCTAAATGGCCATAACTCCAGGAAATTGATGGAATTTCTCCCCCAAACCTTCACCCCAGCCCCAAAGGATCAGGATTTCATTCCCTACTCCCTAAAGGGGCTTTGTCCCACCCAGTGGGAGGGGTGGATGAGAAGACACAGCCAGACTCTTCTCATCGTGGCACACTGGGAGGACAAGGTGCAACAGTCATAAGCTGCAGCAGGGGAAATTCTACTTGGAGAGGAGGAAAAAAGCTGTTCACAAGAGTGGTTAAGCACTGGAGCAGGGCCTGGCCAGGCTGGGGGACCTCCAGCCTTGGAGAGCTGCAAAATGTGGCTGGACAAGGGTTTAGACCAAGCTGGTTAAACCCTGCTTTGAGCAGAGACCTCCTGAGATCCCTCCCAACCTGAACTGTTCTACAGCCCCCAGGACTGCACCAAAATTCTTAATTTCCCCCTAACTTAATATTAATCTTCAGCATTCACCATTAGCTACAGGCAGTGGGAAGAATCTGAAGGAAACCATTTTTATCCTTGGGCAAGAGCAAAATATTCAAAAAATACATATTTCATCGTTGGTTACCAGCAAAAGATGGGCTTTTCCTGAGTTTGGAAAGCTGTCCCAGAAAAGCCTAAGGCTGAGGCACCTTGGTCTGTGGCACAGTGGTGGGGTCAGGGTGGCAAAGAGAGCTCTGGGAAAGAATCCCCCAGGATGCAACTCCAGTGCTTAAAAACCCCTGGTGAAGCAGTGCCTGTGACAATTCTAGTGCTTAAAAACTTCTGATAGAGCACTCCAGTGCTTAAAAACTCCTGGTGGATTACTCCAGTGCTTAAAAATCCCTGTTTGAACACTCCAGTGCTTAAAAATCCCTGGTGGAGTACTGCTTGTCACAATTCCAGTGCTTAAAAACCCCTGGTGGAGCACTCCAGTGCTTAAAAATCCTTATTTGAGCAATTCCAGTGCTTAAAAATCCTTGTTTTGAACACTCCAGTGCTTAAAAACTCCTGGAGGAGCACTCCCTGTGACAATTCCAGTGTTTAAAACCCCTGGAGGAGCACTCCCTGTGACAATTCCATGTTTAAAACTCCTGGAGGAGCACTCCCTGTGGCAATCCCAGTGTTTAAAACTCCTGGAGAAGCACTCCCTGTGACAATTCCATGTTTAAAACTCCTGGAGGAGCACTCCCTGGGACAATCCCAGTGTTTAAAACTCCTGGAGGAGCACTCCCTGTGACAATTCCAGTGTTTAAAACTCCTGGAGGAGCACTCCCTGTGACAATTCCATGTTTAAAACTCCTGGAGGAGCACTCCCTCTGACGGCAGCGCTGCAGCACGACAGAAGAGCACAGACAAAACAGGGCAGGGAGCTGAAGCAGATCTGTCAGCAATTGTACCAACACAGCACCAAACTCATGGGCTCAAGCTGTGCCACCTCATTAGCCAGAGAGGTCGGGAAAGCAAACCATTCTTCCTGCAGGAATTGAGTGGGGAGAGGAGAAGAGGCTGAGAAAGGAGAGTTTAGAATGTTTGCCCTGGAGTATTTTTGTTCCTAACCTCTCCCTGTATGAGCAGACAACAGAATCATCAGTGAAGCAGGGGGTTTAATGCCTGAAAATTCTTCATTTGTGCCAGAGGAAGCAGCTTGTGGAGCACAGAACAGAGCTCCAGGCTGCACAGTCAATGGATCCTTGTGGATCCAACTCAGAATATTCTGTGTGAGCAGGGCAGGAGGCTCTGACAGGCTGCTGGAGATCCTGCCTGGGATCCCCGTCCCTCTGAACTCATCTGGGCTTCTCCAGCTGCCTCATGGTGGTTGGGTTCTTCCCTCTCAGAGAAGCAGGGGCTGGCTGCAGGCACCTCAGAGCAGCACTGCACACCCATTTTACACAGACATCCCCCTGATCCAGGCTTCTTCCCACCAATCCCTCTCCTAAAACCCTCTGCACCTCCAGCTCAGCACAGCCTGTCCTGGCCCGCACACCTCTACTCACCGGCAATCCTGCCAGGACCTGCTACTCCAGACCTTCCACAGCACTTCTTTCACACCTCACCTCGAGCCTTCAGTCCCACAGTGCTCCTCTCACTTATCCCAGCTACAGATACCAAGCACAAGACAATCTGTCTAAAAAAAAAGACATAAGAAGCTCCCAGCAGACACCAGTGAACCATGCAAGGTCAGGCTGGTCACAAGGACCACGACCAAGGGAACACAGTCAGCCAGCGTTGCTCTCTGAGAACTTGCCTAGAAGGAAACCTGAGGCATCCACTGGGGAAAAGCCAAGACAAAGATTTTGTGGGTTTTTGTGAAGCCATCCAAGCCATTCTGCTTTCATAAAGTGGAAATGCCAACAGCCTGGCACTTTCTCCAACAACATCCCACCTGTGTTTCTAGTTTTTCCACTCTTCTGAGGGCAGCACAGAGGTGTGAGATCAAATCCCAAATGATCTTTTCTCCAATTCAAGCACCCACAGAGGGATCTTCCACTTATCACCTCTCAGAACGAGCCCATGAATTCTCACAATTCATTTGGGACAGGTCTGTTCTACCAGGTTCAAGCTGGGTTCACTTGAAATCACTGATCTTTAATATTTACATCACACAGCAGAGCCTGCAAGGGCAGCAAGCTGAGATCACTGGCCACAAAAATGCTATTTATCATGAAAAGCAGGGAAGAAGTCATGGAGAACAGCTCTTGTTTCTGAAATCATGGAGGAAGAAGATAAAAAAAAGGGATCATGGTTCTGTTCAGCTTTAGAGGATTTCTCCCTGGCAAAGACAGCAGCTCACTTCAAGGGAGAGGGGAAAGCAGAACTGAAAGGCTGAAATGATTTGGAAGCAGCTGCAGGGGTGTGATGAACAGGCCAGTTCTCAGTCTGTGTGAGCAAATACCAGCGAGATGCCAGTGATGCAAGTGAACCCAGCTTCCAGCTACAGGCACGGGGCTGAGCTCTTGCTGGCATTCTCACAGCCACAGCAGGAGAATGCCTGACTGGGGTCAGCACTCAGCACCACAGGGAGGGTTCCTGAGTGGTGAGACAGCTCTACAGTGGGGGACAGGAGAGAAAAAAGAAGGCTTACTTTGGAGAGGCGCTTGTGTGACTTAATCGGAGAGAAAGCATGCAGGAATGAAAAGAGAGAAATTAGGGAAAAGAAGAAAAATTACCTCGCAGATCAAAAGAAGGAAAACCCACACACCCAACAGAGAGCACCGTACCCCCTCTTCCTTGTGGAAAGCACCAGGAATCAAAGTTCAGCTTTAGCAGTCACCGTGCTGGTAAAAATCTCAGGTTTGAGGGCCAGGACGATGCAGCTCCTCTCTGTGTTCCCCTTCCCAAGGAGCCCATTTCCCTGGGAGCACCCCCAGGGTGGCTCCGAGCACAGCGTGCCCTGCACCCTCCTGCCATGCCACGGCTCCCTTTGGGAACACGCTGCTGGCAGCCCCGTGCTGAGGGTGGCACCCAGCGTGGGACGGGGTTTGTAGGTCACTGCGTGCACAGGAAGCCAGGCTGACCTCAAGGGCAACCTCAGAACGCCAATGATTCAGCTTGAAAAACCCTTTTCGCCCCTCTTTTGAACTCACAGACTCCCCCCACAGCGGTGAGACATCAGAATGTGGGCCACTGAGTCCTGTTCCCTCTGCGGAGTGGCCACGGAGGGGAGGGGATGAAGATTTCTGGTCTGTGACACAATCCAGCAATAAATCAGGCAAAGATCTAACAATTCATTTTATACAAGCCATCAGAGTTCTGCCTGTGAAATTATTCAGGCTGAAACATCCCACTTCAAAAATCTGGGCAAACACAAGTGCTCCTGACAGCTGACACATCACTGATACCCGGGTTCATAATCAAAGGTTTGTTTGGCACCCCAGGCTCCTGTGTGTGATTTACCAGGCCCCACTGCTCACACAAAAACCTAGAGCCAAACCTGAAACCCTCTTCCCCTGCACAGCAAAGACAAGGCTGGTTCTAATCTGGTCCAAAGACACAAAACCTTCCTGGGGGAAATATCAGCTACCCTGGGCAAGCCAGCCATAACACTGCAGCCATGGAAGGAATGGGCAGAGGGTTGGAAAACTGATTCTGTGCAATTTGAATGATCCCAGAGGGATTGAATAGGACTGGGGAAATGCACAGGTCCTTCACAGGGGAAGCCTTATTTATTTCATGATCCAGGTGATAAAAAGTAATTGCAACAGGTTTTTGAGGTCTGTTGAAAACCCCTGGCGGAGGGGTTTTCCATGGAGCCTCCAAGGAACAGGACCTTGACTAGAGAAGGTTGTAGCCTCAGAGCTGTGCTGATGTCTGAGGACTCCGAGTCAGGAGAACCTTCAGAAATCCCAGGGGGGAAGAGGGAGGGAAATGAGCCAGAGAAGAAGAAGAAGGCAGAGGCCAGAGCCACGGCCCTCTGCTCGCCCCTCACCTTGGAGTTCTTGGCCCCGCTGCGGCCGGACTGGGAGGAGCAGCTCCGCTGGACGCCCTGCTCCGGCGTGGACGGGGACTTGTCCGAGGAGTGGTCGGAGCCCTTCTCCACCATGGCGTCCCCCGGGGCGTCCTGCGGCGTGGGTGAGCGCGAGCGTTTGCGCAGGATCGGCGAGCAGGCGGGCGTGCTGCGGTTGGAGTTACTGGCGGTACTGCAGGGCACAGGAAGGGGAAAGAGCGGGGTTAGAGCACCTCCAAACACTGAGCTGCTTCCTGAGCAAACCCACCCGCAGCCCCCCGGGGGTTTGGGCAGTTCTCTTTCAGCAGAGGGGGAGGAACTGCTGGCAGTGCCTTTCTCCAGCCACCCTTCAGCCCCTCAGACCACAGAGCAATGCTCATGAGAGGGAACTTGTTGGATCCTGGGAGCCAGGAGCCCACCACCAGCCACCCTTCAGCCCCCCAGACCACAGAGCAATGCTCATGAGAGGGTCCTGGGGGCCAGGAGCCCACCACCAGCCACCCTTCAGCCCCTCAGACCACAGAGCAATGCTCACAAAAGGGAACTCGTTGGCTCCTGGGGGCCAGGAGCCCACCACCAGCCACCTTTCAGCCCCTCAGACCACAGAGCAATGCTCATGAGAGGGAACTCGTTGGTTCCCGTGGGCTCTCAGAGTTTCAAACGATGACCTGAGCTTAGAAAAATCCAGTGTGCACTCAAGAACGACAGAGGAGTCAGCACGTTCTCAATACAGCCTGGCTCTGCCCCTCCTTTATCAGTGCAGCTCTTCTCAATAGATGCATGAAAATGGGGTCACACTTTCAGAAAACACCCCATCAAAGAGCATCAGAAACGCTGGGGCTCTGCGAGGGGAGTCATGGTGACATTCACTGCAACATTTCCTGTACAGAACCAACTTTTTCCATATCAGTTAGAGCTGGGCATGAAAACGGTTTGCTGTGACCCAAAAGCCTTTTTGATTAAAAAAAAAAACAATTTAAAATTAAGTTCCTTTTTCACAATGGGAAAAGCAAGGCCTTTCAGAGTTTTACAGAAATTATGAGAGGAATGGAACTTCTCATTCTCTTTCCTCAGCAAATGCCCCAGCACCTAGATCAGCAAGCTAGTAAAGTACAAACTAATACAGAACAGGAAAACTCAGATTTCCTCAATGCTCCTTCTCTTTTGATGCCTCTCCTTCCTGCCAGACTCCTCAAAATACCACACACTACACCCATTTTTCCCTCCGTCACTCATTTCCTTCAGGAGCCAAATCTATTTCTGACCAGACATCCTCGAGGCTTTTCCAGCTGGTCACAGAGGGGCCTGATGCAAGGATTGGATCTGTGCTAACTTCTTCAGGAGCCTCTTATCTCATGAGCAACACCGAACAGGCCACATCTGACAGCACGGGCAGCAGGAAAGGATGGAGGAATTACAACTGCAAGGGACTGAATTAAAGGAATTATTACAATCAGGCTCTTAATTTAAGCCAAATTGCACACAGCAATCACAATGATGCACAGCAAGGTACTCCAAATGGATCATTTCTTCCTTGAGGAGCTGAACACGTGACTGAGGTTTCATTAATTCCCAGATAAAAACCATATCCATCCCTTCTTACCTCTGAAGATGCCAAAACCATTTTACAGGCATTAGTTAGATATGGGCAGCCAGTGTAACACACTCCCCCAGCAGTTCCCAGGTTTGGATTGGTTTGGTTTTGGATGAACTGGTCTTGTAAATTCTCCTTTATTTGCTCACTGCTTGTGTCAATGCACAAGTGATGAAACTTTCCCTGAAGAGCCTGCAGGAAGCACTCAGCCAAGCTGCTTATGCAAACAGGGCCAGAATCAGATTTCCTGGGAGCTGGCACCAGGCAGGAACAGCAGCGTGGAGCTCCCCAGGAGCCCCTGAGAAGATGCCTTCACCCCTACAAAGTGTGGAATTTCATATAGATCATGGACAGGCTTGGGAAAATGGCTGTGCAAAATGTCCTGTAGGCAGGAAGGTGGATTAAGTTAAACTCTGTTCTGTCACCTATTCCTACCCAGTAGGGTGAGAAATATAGATATAGAGCAATATAGATACAGAAATACAGAGAAATAAGATATAGAGCAATAAAAACATGTTCAAATGTCACCCAAACCCCAAGGCAGCTCCAGTGCAGAGCAATTCCCCCTTGGCTTGGGGCTCTTCACAAGGAGCAATGGCACATCCCCAAGGGAAATACTGTCACATCATCTTGTCCTGTACCCTCCCTTTCCCTGGACAAGGCACAGGAATATTGAATCTAAACCAGTGCAGCAATAACTGTAACAACATTCCAGATTGAATCCCCCCAAATAATAATTGAAGCAAAAGGAAAATGAAAAAATTATCTGGAACATTCTCCCAGAAGCACTGCCTGCCACAGTTCAGGTGTAATACGAAGTAAAATTATCAGGGATGTCTTAGTTTATTGAAGTATTAAAAAGCATCAGGTTCCTTCTCAGATTTTCAGCTGACCCAGTCAAAATGGGTGTCTGTGCTCCTGCTGCTCCTTCTCCTGCTAAACTCAATTTTGGCAGCCCAGCAAAGCTATATTGGTGACTCCAAGTTCATCAGCAGCAGTCCCAGGGATGGAAAAGGTTCTGAACTGCCATTTTTACAGACCATAGAAAAAAGCAGACTTCTAGTTAAAACCTCTAAATTCTGAGGTCCTGCTTGCCCCCAGTGTGCTTGAAGCAACATAAGCTGGTTTATGTGAGAGGTCCCCAAAAATACAAGGCAAGAATTCGAAGCCATGTCCCTGACTAGCACATGTGTGAACACACGTACTAATTTTTCCTCTACAGCTCTACAAAACCTGAGTTTACCACACACAACCTCCATCTCATTTTCAGTTTGTGCGAGTTCACAGTTTCACTTTGAGCTTGGGCTTAGAGCAGCTCTGAAGAGACCAAGCCAAATTCAGCCCAGCCTCTGTTTGCTTTCAGTTTGCTGTTGTGAGATTTTGCTGCTGCTCAATTAAAGCTCAGAACGAGCAGCTCAAAACCAGGGTACAGCTGCCACAGCATGCAGGTGGAACTCAAGATGAAAAATGCTGGAAAGTTTGGTGCTGTTTTGGTCTTTTAATGGTCTTACAGAGCTCCTCAAGGTTGTCGGAATCTGTACTATTGATGATTCTGAGATTGTAGAAAGTCTCTGTCTGTCAGCCCCACTGCCAAAGCAGAAGCCATAATTGGTCTGTGCTGGTTTCAAGGTTGTTTATTCTGTTTATCTCTAACATGTTCTGCTGCCCTGCCGCAGCTCTGTCCTGCAGGGCAGCGTGTGGGGCTCTGCCCTCAGTGGGATGGTACAAACATTAAATACCACAAACTCCCTGTGCTGGATTTACAATAACGTGCCAATATCTGTCACCTACGTTGGACAGTGTGTCCCCAGCCTGAACCAACAGAAAAATGCCAACACCACAGTGAAACATGGAGGGCATGAAGAAGGAGAAAAAGGACAAGACACACCCAATTTCCTCCATCTTGTCCCCTTTGGACCCCTCATCTAGAATCCTAAAATTTTACTTTTGCACCCGTGCCACACTTAATTATTACTCATATCAAACACTCAGAGTTTGTAATTCATCCTGTAAGATTGAAAACTCTTTTCCATGGACAGAGATCACAGCCAGTGTCTCTGGGGGCTCTGTCCAGGGGGGTTCCTGACCCCTGCCAGGGTCCCAGGGCAGCCAGAGGGAAGTTCTGGATTCCCACAGAAGGTGAGTTTTTATCACAGCCCACCATGCTCTAGCACTGCAGCTGCACAGGAGCAGCATCAGCTTTGATGTTTTAGATCATTTAGATCATTGCTTAGAGCTGTCGATTTTATTTTGGTGCCAGCTGTGCCAAGCACAACCTTGGACAGATTCTGTCTTCCAGAAAAATTAAACCCATCCACATCTATCATGTTAGGTGTGTGTGGATTCTCACCTTTGAAACAGTGGGAGGAAACAACATCAAGGGCTCCTTCTTTGGCTCTCCCTGAAGTCAGTGGCACAAATCTCAAACCCAGGAGGGCTGAATTCCCCTCCTGCTCTCTGGTGACTGGGACAAGCCGAATATTTCTGCATGAGGGACTCCACAGAGACAGCAAATGAAGAATGTGTTAGCTGAGCTCCGTGGCAGCGAGGATGGGCACAGAAGGCACAGAAAGGGCTGTCCCTGCCCCGAGCCCCTCCAGGCTCTCCCTGCGGCCGATTCCCTGGAGTTTGGATCCAGCCCAAGGCACAGCCATGACGAACGCTTTCTGCAGTTGCCATGGCGACCACGGCCTGCAATTGAACCAGGAACCAAGGCCTGAAACAGCCTGACCCACTTTGAAAAAAAAAATTAAATAAATAATTGTAATAAATAACGCTTTAGAGACCTAATTGCCCAGAGTGCATTCAGGGCCTCACGTCCCCCTGCAGAGCAGCCTTCAGCAGATGAGACAGGTTAAGTGAGGGACAGAACACAAACAAGCCCACCTAAGCAGCAGCCCCTTTGCTGCGAGGTGAAAACCCCTGCATGGAGCATTTGAAAGCACTGAAGGCTGGGTTTGTCTCCTTGGTTTATGTCCTTGCTGTCCCTAAAGGGAAAACCTCATCAAAACACCATCAGCAAGCGTGGTGTGGATGGGAAGGGGCCAAACTCTGCTCAGATGTGGAGGAAAAGCATCAATATCTGCAGCAGTGCAGGAAAGAATCTGTAGCCTGCCAGTATCTTGGAGCTGGAGAGGGGTTTTTAGCAGAAATTGTAGTGATAGGACAAGGAGTAATAGATTCAGCCTGAAAGAAAGGAAATTTAGGCTGGATAAATGGAAGGAATTCTTCTCTGTGAAGGTGGGGAGGCTCTGGCAGATGGTGCCCAGAGATGCTGTGGCTGCTCCATCCCTGGAATTCCAAGGATGGGGCTTGGAACAGCCTGGGAGAGTGGAAGGTGTCCCTGCCCATGGGACAGATGATGTTTAAGGGCCTTTCCAACCCAAACCATTCTGGGATTCTACAAACTTTCCTTCAGCTGGTGAAAAAGAACATTTGGCAATGCATGGACCAGCCCCTGAGACACCAGGCAAGACACAGAAAGGCCAAATCTCTCCTCCAAAAGAACACTCCCTGTAAGGATCTCGACCCTTACAGATGATGATGAACAGAACTTCACCAAGCAGTCACTTCTGGGAAAGGTATTCCAAGAGTTGAGC